TGGAAAAACGGCAACGAGACTGGGACAGGCACATACAACCGTTTTTGTTGTCATATCGAAGCGCTGTTCACGAAAGTACATCAGTGACACCAGCTTTCGCAAACTTTGGGAGAGAATTGCGGCTGCCTGCAGACCTGATCACCGGAATACCACCTGATGCCCCACGCAGTATAACCGATTATGCAAATGACTTGCGGAACAAAATGAATGACATTTATGAGCACGTCAGACAGACGGGCCAGCAAACGTCTGAGAAGATGAAAACACGGTATGACCGCAAAATGAACAACAAGGGCTTTGATGAAGGTTCACTAGTGTGGTTACACAATCCAGTTCGCAGCAAAGGGAAATCTCCTAAGCTTCAAGCTAAATGGGACGGACCGTACAGGATTGTGACAAGGATCAATGATGTAACCTACCGGATACAGAAAGGTGCCAGAGGTACTCCTAAGATTGTCCATGTGGACCGACTGGCGCGTTATTATGGGGCCAATAATGCTCGGGACGAGCATGTCTTAGGAGGGGGCAGTGTTACGCGCCACTATTAATGTCTTGTACATGGCAACACTAGTTACACTAGCGCCCCCTAGTGTCGAGTAAATGAAAGTATTGCGCGCCACTATTAATGTCTTGTACATGGCAACACTAGTCACACTAGCGCCCTCTAGTGTCGAGTAGCAGAACTAGGAGAGTCGAGATCCTTCCAGAAATTTCGGGACCGATATGTACTCGAACATTCTAGGTGTCGCTACAGTAGAAGGTTCTGGAAACTATCTGAGGCCCTATATAAGACCGGTATAGACCACGACCGGGGCAGTATTGAATTGGCGATACAAGAGAATACTTCGAAGCGAAATAACGGCGAACTGTGTTTTATTATTAGTGTGATTTTTGATTGTAATTAGTGTTGTGTAATTAAAGTGTAAATTTTGGTAATTCAGTCGGCAGTTTTTAATTGTCTCGAACCCGAAGCTCGTAACAATATCAAGGTTATTGTTCAATGTAAGGAAGGTTAATGTGCAACATCGAGGTAAATTAAGATTATAAAATCGTGAACGTCTTTGAAACTCAGGTAATTTACCTACTTACCATTTTAACCGATTTCAAAAAAGGATGAGGTACTCATTCGACTTTATTTTATATGTGTGGTAACTCAGAAGTTTTTCCTAGATGAACCGTTTTTTCTAATTCTTTTTTTATCTGAAAACTAGTGCTTATAATAAATCTATATCCATATAAATTTGATCAAGATCTAGGCAGTAGTTTTAGAGTTATCCTAAAAGGCCTTCTACACGGTCGGAACCAACCACCAACCGTCGTGACCTTGGTTGGATCAAACGATTTTTGTATTTGTTCTACACGGTCGGGTGGTTGACTCAACTTGTCAGTTCTCTCCGGTATTCAAAGCGTAAAGACGTAAGGTAGTTACTTTTAAATATGGCTCCTTGCTTTTCTAAACAACAAAAATAGTTTTTTTACTTACAAAAAAACGTTACCCCCACACTAGGACTTCAACAACTTGATTTTAATTTTTGTAAAAAAAAAACGTAAATGGATGAAATTGTGGCTGAAAGAACGCATTACTTTAAACCATCTCAATATTTTAAGGATTCTTAATTCTGAAGACTTTCGGAATTTTCTAAGAATAGATCAATATACTTTTAATGAATTACTTGAGATGGTGAGTCCAATGATTACAAAAAAAAATACAGTTATGCGTCAAGCCGTGTCTGCTGAAGAACGATTAATTAAGATTTTTGGCTACGGGAAGAAGTTATAAAGATCTGAGATTTAGTACAGTTATATCATTTCCATAGTGCCGTCAAACGTTCGCCCGAGACGACTGCCAAGCGCGCACTGAGGTGCCTGCAACCTGGCGCTCTCCTCTACTCGTCGGCCGACAGCTTTCCACACGGTCGGCGTCAACGACGGACCCGACGTGTCGTGAGTGATGCGCTCACGACCAAGGCCGTTGGACATCAACCAAAATATTGGTCAGACAACCGATGTCTACACTGTACATTTTTGCATCAACTCGACCAAGGTCACGACGGTTGGTGGTTGGTCCCGACCGTGTAGAAGGCCTTTTAATAATGCGAATTATAATGCGTATTAATGTTGATGTCGGTTTTTTTATAGAATAGGGTGACAAACGAGCACACGGCCCAACTGATGGCAAGTGGTTGCTGTGACCCATACACATCTACATCTATCATCAATAAAGAATCAAACTGCAGATGCGTTGTCACCCATGAGGAGTAAGATGGAATGCCTCTTTTCCAGTAAAAAGGGTCTTCGGTTCTCTACACTCACTGTTTATGCCCAAAATTGGTCATGTTGAACGCCACCCAATTGCGTTCGAGCTGGCGCTTCACCCGATGGTATGTAGGTGAGATAAGCGCCGAGGTGGGGCGGCCGTGTGCGGCTTGCGGTCAGTCGCTCGACGCGTGAGCGAAAGGTCGATGCCCCGCCAGCCACGAGGCGGGGAGACCGTCAGGCCCTCTTACCTAAATTCACGGCCCGTTGTGGATCTAGATAGCTGGATGAAGTACGTGCTTCTTCGTCACGTAGATATGTGAATTGTGCGATATTTAACTCGCGCGAGAGTGCGGAATAGTGTACGCGCGTCGAGTAGATATACGGTCTAGGATTCGAGCCGCGCATTCCTAGTTTGAGAGCTTCTCCCGGTTAATTGGCAGGATATCGTTATAATTGGGTCGTCGCGTTAGTGCCTTTTGTGTTTTGGTTGCCTAGTTAAATTAATTTGCGTGTCAGAGAGGCGTATTTTGAATCTTGTGCGACGTGTTATTCTGTGTCGAATTTATAATTTGTGATAAGTGAATACGGGACATTGAACTTTGAACTACTGTCCGTTGCCGTGTCGGGTATCACGTGTTCAACTCTGCGATGAGTGTGGAATTAGGCGAATTGAAGTTAGTTAAATGTACAATGAAGCTAAGAGACTGAATAGTGATAGTGAAGAAAGAAGTGGTCTGGAGCGATGCAGTATTTTGGAGCAGCCTGGAACTCGGCCGCTGCTGGTCGCCTATGCTCGCCAAGGCCCCACACATTCACACATCACTGTACACGACTCGCTATCTACCATTACACACACTCACGGCCTGCCCAAGCCTTGGAGCGAAGTTAGCTCCTGATACAGGTAAGTACCTTTGCTTTCTAGTTTGCTCCCATAGTTTATTGTGATAGCACATATTCCACGTGGCCATATTGAGGCCCGACCTGCGTCTGCCCGTCGAAGAAGCTGCTATGGGCCCCAGCCAAGACGACCTTTGCAAGGGCAGCTGTAGGCCGTAACACTCACCATACGAAACACATCAGTGATAAGCTGCTATTATACGCTGGTATTCTGTGAGAGCGTAGAGCTTGGTGTGGGTGGGTCGGCTCGGCCGGGGCCATTCGTGCGACAACTATACTTCTAATATAGCTGCAGCATGGCTCTACCAGTTGTGTGCCTAAACGTGTCGGTTGTACATTTTGTTTCATTTCATCTATTTTTAAAAAACTTGTCTCTCTTCCTCTCTTTTTAAAAAACGTTATCTCCATACTAGTATTTTCTCCCGTATCGAGGGAGCAGAGACATAGATTTTATAAGGACAAACATCCAGACCCAGAACAATTATTTGTAGGCCATACAAAATACTTCTTCCGTGCGGGATTCGAACCCGCAGTCCTTAGCGCTCCAACTCATTGCATGCCTGTTTTATTTTGCTATTTAAAAACGTGACACGCGACGGCATTATTAACGAAAGAGTGGCAATGAGAAGTGCTGCTATTTTCAATCTCTTTCTTTTATCGACTAAGAGTTTAATTAATACCAGTATATGCTGATCTTGCATTAGTAGGCAGTCACTGGTACTGGGAGGTCTACTTACACTGAAAGTTTTTTAAGGTCATTGTCATTATACGCGAAAAAATCGAAAACTGCGAAGCTGTGGTCGGTTTGCTTATGGCGTCAGTTACTAGGTACCTAATTATTTAGATCTACCTATAAATAATAATAATATCTTACCTTTCGGAATCCTTAAGAACAGTAAAGAATGAAAAGTCGACATTCCTATTGTTATTTAAGCAAACCTATACAGTACCTTTTGGCTTTTTGAGAGGCCATACTAGAATAAAAACTCAGAAATAAATATCAAGAGTGCCTAAATACTTATAAGAGAAAAATACTTTTTTGTTAACGTAAAGCCCGCATCAGCTCGAACGCGCACCTGACAACCTTACGGAATCAGCCCCTTGCAGGGAGCCGCGGAGCGTAGGTATATTTTCATGCCTAAAGCACGAAGTGAGACAGGCCTGCTGTTATATAACACTAAATAAAATTACTCTTTAAAATAATCACAATTACGGGAAAATTATAATCGTCATAAAGCAATAAATATTGAATGAAATCGTAAGAAGATTTCATTCAATATTTATTGCTTTATGACGATTATAATTTTCCCGAAATTATTAAGTTATTTTTTGTGTAGGTTAATTTTTATACTTGGTAGAGCCTTGCTGCAGCTATATTATAGTTTTTTTTTATAGGAGAGGGGGCAAACGAGCATGCGGCTCACCTGACGGTGACTACCGCCGCCCATGAACAACTGTAACACCAAGGGAACCAGGGGAATTGCAGATGCGTTGCCGGCCTTTAAATAGTTATAATATAGTTATAACTACTATAATAGTGTATATTATAGTTGTAGCATGAATGGGTCGGCTTGACCGTGGAAGTACCACGCTCTCACAGAATACTAACGTAAAATAGCAGCTCAACACTGCTGTGTTTTGTGTGGTGAGTGTAAAGAACCGGAGATTCCTGTTTACTGGAAACAAGGCATTCCATCTTAGTCCTCACGGGTTACAACGCATTAGCATTTTGATTCTTAATTGAGGAGAGATGTAGATGTCTATGGGCCGCAGCATCCACTTACCATCAGGTGGACTGTGTGCTCGCTTGTCACCCTTATCCTATTAAAAAGTTAAATATTTACTTGAGTAAGTCTTGCAGCGTAGCATTGCAAGGCGCCATCGCGTCTCGCACTGCTTGTAACGTAACCAGTTCTCCGCTTGTGTTGGCGCCGCCCATCGCCGCAAATACTTCACTACACCGCTGTGTACATACAAAGTAATAATTTAATTAACATAGCGATGTGCACATACGTCTGAAAACAAATATGCCGATACAGATACAGCAGTAAGTCTGGTAGGAATCATCAGGCAACTGTCTAATATTTATTAATTATGATATTTTGTAACCTAAGAAAGATATGAATATGAATGAAATTAAATTAAAAACATCTTCCGCTTTATTATATTAGTATAGATTTCATTCTTTCCCATAGATTTATATGGTTGTCTCTTCTTAGGCAATCTATAATGGAGGTCTATGCTTAGTCTAGTAAGTGAGGGTAATATGGTCACTTTCTTATAACTCAAAAACTATAACCTTGTTCGCATAGATGGCTCTGTGATACGATAGCTCTTCATCAGTCAATCAAATAATATATGGTACAAAGGGCCCTGCTTTATCGACGTCATTATGACAGTTGACATTATTGTTAATATTTTAGTCGATTTTAATGTTGTGTGGAGTACTTAGTTTTTTTTTAAGTTGAATTTTCAAGTGTTCCTAATAATTGCCAAAGGTTATTTGCTAATTTTTTCTTAACATATTGGTTACAGTATACAACTTTGTGTTTTTGCCTCTGTCGTCCTCCTATTTTTTTTAGTGGGCGGCAAAGCTTAATGTGACCTATTGAAGATGATATTACCGTCATGTACCTTAGTGGATTTTGATAAGCTGTAATAGTAACGTGTTTGGCCCCAGCCCATTATAGCCGTGCAGGTTGTATAGATTATACTTTATTATATTATATTATAGTATACATTATTTTATGCTCACGCGGTTCGAACCGCTGCGCCGGAAATTGTTTATAATGCACCGTTTTTCATATCAAACTTAGTGTGTGGTAGTAAACTGTTAAAGTAACGACACATGTGCTTACTTTATACGCCACTCATACTGACGTACTATCGTCATAAACTCCATAACTATAAACTAAATTAACTATCAAAGAAGCTGTACGAGTCGCAAACTGTGGCCTGTGCAATAGATATTTTTCTAATACAATGTTTTTTTTAATGACACTATCAATATAGTATATTTCATTACGAGTGTGGAAAGCCTGTCATTGCAAAGAGTTCCGACAAATGTCTACCCGAGCCGAGGCGCAGCCGAAGGTGAGGGTTGACAGTCGGAACAATTTGCAATAACGGTTCCGCACGTATATTGAACAACTATTTTTAATACAGTTGTGAAAAAATGAAGCAATTTAATAAAGAACATTTTTGGAAAATGGCGCCAACCGTAAAAGAATATAAGCAGATTTTTTTTGTTTTCTTCACCCATTCTGGGTAGGCAAAGGGAAATATGCTCATACAGCCAAGTCTTCAGTAGAATTTTTTTATTGATATGAAATGAAAATTAAATTTAATGAGATGAAATGAAATGAAATTCAAATCATTAAATCTGATATTGAAACAAATTAGTAGCTTCTTCTTAGAAATATTTGCATGAATCATAAAAACTTCTATGAATTTTTTTTAGTAAAAACTTCGTGGTTGGTTTTTTCTTTTTAATAGACATTATTTTGACAGTTGGGAAAGAACGCAAGAGTTCGGAAAAGGTAAAGAAATAGCCCACACCCCGAACGCTATAATACGTCCTTGCAATACGCCACTTTTTGTATTAAAAACAAATTGAATCAAAATTATGTGCAATCTCTTTTGTGTAATTCAAAAAGTAGGGTACATGATTTGAATTTCGCTGTTATTTTTAAAATTAAAAAGTTTATGCATGTTATAGGCTTCTTCTTCGATCACCTCTTATACTGTGCGTGCGCGTGTGCGTGTGCGTGCGTGCGTGTGCGTGTGTGTGTGTGTGTGTGTGTGTGTGTGTGTGTGTGTGTGTGTGTGTGTGCGTGTGTGTGTGCGTGTGTGTGTGCGTGCGTGTGTGCACCTGCAGGTACTGGTGCAGCAGGTGGTGCGCGGCGGCAGCGGCGCGCTCGGCGGCGGCGGGCAGCGGCGGCGGCGGCAGCGCGGCGGCGGCTTGCGCCGCGAGTGCGGCGGCCGCCTCGCCGCCCGCCCACGCGCGCTCCAGCGCCAGCGCGCGCAGTCGGTGCGACTGCGCCGCCGTGCTGTTGCTCGCCAGCCTGCAATATGCACACACCACATCACTCCATCACCTATTCTCAGGATTTTTTTTGATACATCATTAAAGTGAACAAGAAAAAGAGTGACAAAGCAAATTTATGTTACAGAGTTTAACGGCAGAGTCGAAGACGCCCTAGGCGAAAGTTTATCGACCAAATCGGCGATACGATATATTGAAAATGGGCCAAATCAAGAGTACCTTTAACCGACAAGCGTGTATGCGTAGGTATATGGATGTGGAGGAAGCGAGAGAGGTGTGTCAGGATCGTGCCAAATGGAAGTCCATAGTCTCTGCCTACCCCTCTGGGTGACAGGCGTGAGTGTTTATGTATTATGTATCATTAAAGTTAGTGATACATTAGTGATAAATAAAGTGATACATTACTGTTACATTTGTACGCGGCGTTGCCCCAACTACGGATTTTTCCGTAAATCTACGGAATTGTCATTATCTAAGTAACTACGGAATTTGAGGTTGAAATGTTCGGAGTTTTTAAAAACAAGATTTTTTTTATCATGAGTGTGAACTTAGCCAACAATGTCATTCTCTCTCTCTCTCTCTTCTTCTATGCTATCTGTATTAAAAATAAAATTTTTGGTTATAAATTAAGCTAATTATTTGGTGAGGTTAATTGATTTCAAATTTTAATAGCGTAGATATTTTGCATTAAATTACGTTTATTTCGAATTTCGAACGCTTCTTGAAACATAAGCAGTTAATATAAACGCTTATAACATTTTCATAGATGTTTGAATTGTCACCTATGTCTCAAATTTTTCCAATCCCAATTGTTTATACAATTATTACAAAAATACTCATAAATTGTTAGTAGTATAGTTTTTTTAAACTAATTTTTCTTCACCTATATTGCTTATTCTGAACCTTCTCTGCAAATTTGACCGGTTATTGCAAAATAACCCTGTATATGTATGATATGCAATAACTTAATTAATATTTAAGCACTGGTTTATAATAGTTAAAAAAAAATTCAACTGAATAACGGTTTTAATATTTTTCCTTTATGATTATTTATAATTGGAAATTTCTAGCTGTTACCTCGAGCTTCTAATGCCCGTATTTCGCCACAAAGAACCATAAAAATTCATACCATATAATTTCCACATGAAGTTGGGACTTTTATTCTGCTATATGTTGTCTCAGCACCATATATTTAGCATATACTTACGTTAGATTGGCAATGCAAAAGATAATGGGCATAGCATATGCTTACGTTAGAACGAGATAGAATGGCTAGACCATTCACGTACATACAGGCTATAGGCCTGTATCGGGCTGACGTCAATCGTTAACGAAACAAATCCCGCTTATGTTCGCGATATCTTTGATTTTGAAATATTAATGTGTTTAAAAGCTGTGATTAATTATGGTGACGAGTGCCGTACCTGAATGCAGTTCACCGAGAAAAGAAAATCTACAAAATTATACATTTCACACTTAAGCACAATTAAAATGTTTAGCACTCTAAATTCAATATTGGTGCAAATGTTTTATACACCAATGGGTAGGGGAAAATATCGCATTTTATTACGATAACGATGTTTATAACAGGCAAAGGCATATATATCCTTGGATGCAGCCTCTTGTGACTTCGTATTTTTTTTATTTTCTATTTTTAATTTTTAGTGTTTCGTTGCCAGGTAGAATTATAGTAAATACTTTAATGAGATGATTTAAACTCTATAATATGATAATTGAAGTTGATACATGGCGCAGCACTATAATTGTCGCACACATGCACATTTGACTCAATGTTTAATTTTAAAAATTTAATATGTTTATAACAGGCAAAGGCATATATATTCTTGGATGCAGCCTCTTGTGACTTCGTATTTTTTTATTTTCTATTTTTAATTTTTAGTGTTTCGTAGCCAGGTAGAATTATAGTAAATACTTTAATGAGATGATTTAAACTCTATAATATGATAATTGAAGTTGATACATGGCGCAGCACTATTATTGACGCACACATGCACATTTAACTCAAACCGGTACTTTTCGTTTTTGGCCTCACCCTAATCACGCCATCGCCAATCTAATGTATACTATATCTATGCTTAGCACCAAATTCAGCCGCTATTATATGGAAACTATTTTTTTAATCAATTGATTCATCATTTTACTTTTAATTAAAAAAACTATTAACTAATTAATTTATTATTACTATTATTTCCTGAAAACCCCCTGTTATACCAAACTCAAGTTTTTCCTCACGCAAACATTTTACTCTTAAGAGCCCCTAAATGTCCACTGCTGGACACATGCACCAAACCATCATTTTTTAAACCATCGTTACTTGTAAATTATTTTAAATGTATAATATGTGGTTTTGGCTATTACTTGCAGCGCCCTGTTCATCTTTTTTTGTTGTTCTGAATAGTAATGATCAAAAAGTGAAAAAGTGAAACGATTTTGCATTTTACTTCTTAATCGATTATATATATAGGTGTGTATCGGTCAGAGTATTCACTTGCTATCAGCATGGGCGTGGTTAGGAAAGGGAAAAAGGTGCAAGACCTTCCATAAAAATCTACTGTTTCCTGAAAACTCGATATTCAATTTTAACGTCTAGCAATGTTTCAATAGGATCAGGAACAGGATGGGTTTGTATCAAAATGTTGGCTCCGCCCATGACTATCAAGTGGACTCTGTGATTATATTATCTGTATAGTATTTTTATTACACGATGGTGGATTAGTCTTACTTGAAGTGTAGGTACACATGCACGTTGTTTAATGTACACAAAACCGAGAGTCAAAAATTACTATCAAGTACCGTGAAAACGGAACAATACGGGGAAAAGTTGTTTGCAGTGATGTAAGATAAAACACATATATAGTACTACAGAATAAATATTGTGCATAGGCTGAGTTCGTATTTACGAATATGACCGACCGCGTTGAGACGGTATTAATGTAGATCTTATATTGAAACTTAAAAATCCTATTTTCAAAAACATAAAACTATGACAGCTCTTTCTTTGTATGATTCTACAGAACAGTTTACGTAACTTATTTCCTGTGCCTCTCGCACGGTTTAGAAATAATTACTGTTCTTAGAAATGATATTGAAATTTATTTGTTAGTGATAAAGTTGAAATTACGAGTGTTTTTTAGGATAAAATTACTCTCAACAATCGTTTTTGTAATGTACAATAAAATTGTTTACGATGTTTGCCGATGCATATTTATTCAGAAGCACTGTACCCGTGTAAAAAGATACCTATATTTTTAAAATGGTGCTTAAAGCAAAGACTTCTATGTATACTACTAGACTCTCTTGACTAGGGCTATGCGGTCCGTAATACATTGCGCACTAGGTTATTGTCAATTCTCCGTAACTCCTTTAGTTCACTGCGAGCGAGTGAAACGATTAGTAGTTCGTTTTGTAACCCGCAAAGTTGTCTTTGACAATCTAACACAACTTTTTAAAATGAGATAACGCTGAAATTATTTATGTGCTCACTTTGTCAACGAGATTTGAAGTTTAATTCAGACAAGTATGTAACTTTATTTTGTACTTGTCTAAAAACAGTAACTGCCGTAAATGGAAATAAAACTGCGTGACATAATATTTACAGTGGCAGCTACCCGGGCAGCCGGCGCCCGCGCGATCCACAACTGTTACGCAGTTTTTGTTCTGTATCGCCAGTCTATCAGTACACATAGACGTGTTCGGCTAAAGGTCGCCAGCAGTAGAGTGCGGCGGAGGTGCAAGGAGGAGGAGCAGGCAGGCACGCACCGGTCGTGCAGGTCGCGCCAGAGCGCGGCGACGCGCTCGCTGGCGCCGCGGCCGCCCGCCGCCGCGTCGCAGCCGGGGAACTCCACGCGCCGCACGCTCACCGACCGCCGCAGCGCCGTCGCGATGTCCGTCAGCCCTGCCCGGTGCAAATTGTTCATGTTTTTTTATACATAGAATAAGGGTGACAAACGAGCACACAGTCCATCTCATGGTAAAGGGATTAAGAATCAAAATTCAGATGCATTGTCTTCTCTGAGTACTAAGATGGAATGCCTCGTTTTCAGTTAAAGAGAATGTCCGGTTCTCTACACTCACCATACGAAACACAGCATGTCCTACCCTGGTTGAGCCGACCCATTCGTGCTACAACCATAATATATCTGCAGAGTGGCTCAACCACATATATTATTTTAATGACAGTATCGTACCAATTATGGCGGTGTAAAAATGTCTATTATGCCATATCGGTTAGGATATGAGACAACAGAAGGAAAATGAAACAGGAGATGGATTACAACATCTTTCTGATAACATCTTAAAATAATAAAAAACTGCAGTTGCCAACCCGCCTGCCAAGTGCGCAAACATAAATTTAACAGTGGACTTTTGATTAATAAAATTTCAGTATTTTCAAGTTAAAAATTATTTATGACAAATAAATTTTTCTTCCTGTACCATGGCAACAAAAATGTTTCAATTTTGTACCAATCCCGTCTTACAGATTTTATCATTTGGAAATAAATAACAAAACAACCGTATGTTGGTTGCTTAATAGAATCCATCGAGGTCCATTTGTTCCGTGGGTATTTTAAGAGGTGAATATGGGAAATTAAAAAAAAAGTAAAGTATATGTCGAAGCGCCTGTTAAAGTAAAGTAGCAAAAGCTTGTGGGCGCTTCGAAGTGACATTCGTCTATGACAGGACAATATCTGACAATACAATTTTATCTCTCTTGTAATATTGAATCTTGTAATATTGAAAAAAGTCAAAATAAAATAAACAAAAGAAAACAAAAAAAAAGTAAAAATATTAAAATAATTATGTAATTTATCTTATTCTTTTATTTGCCACCACGGAGCAAATACAAAGAGGAGGTGTTGTAATTAGATTTCACTATGTAACAACGCGTGACAATTTGCGATGTGTGAGTTACGCCCAGTGATGACGTCAGGACCTAGTTAGAATCACAGTGCACAGTTGCTTAGGTCGTCTCCTCTTTGTATTTGCTCCGTGTTTGCCACCGAATGTTAAATAAGGACATAAATTGTGGCGCGAACAATGTACAACATTTCCTCAAGTTTACGTCACATGTCAAATACTTAAATCAGCGATGGGAAGCAGCGCCTAAGATGCGAGACGTCTAATACCAGGATAACATAAAGGTATGGATGGCAACGGTAGAATAGAGGCAGTGAGGCTGAAGGATTTTTTAATTCACAAATTTGACAGCTTATATACTATATGTCTATCACAAGTTTAAAAAGAGTATACATTTATAAAACGAATATACTTGTGAAGAACAACGACGGGGGCCTTGCGGGACAGTGGGCAGAGCGACCGTGTGCCAGCGCATTGACTACTGTTGTATGAATACATGCGGTTGACGCGAACGTGTTTTACACACGCCACACGCAACTATGTACTTATTTAACCAATATAAATACCGTCTTCGAAAAAATATAGGGCCTATAATTGTGAACTACTGTTAGTTATATGAGTTACTAAACAAAGTTGAATTCAAATTAGAGTCATGTTTATGTTACCCACACTAAATAATACAGTACACTACATAATTAAATTTAACAATCGTGGAAAAACTGATAATATCTATGAAAAGAAAGTGTCAAGAAAGTATTGCACGCTTCATAACGCGAAGCGGATTGATTATGGGATATATTTTAGAAAGCTATAAATTGTGTACTAAGAAAGCAGACATTATTATTAAATTGAGTGAACTTGAGTATTAGCCAGTTGACTTTTACAGCCTTATCGGACTTGGCCTATAAAAAGGTGACTGATAATGAAGATGATGATGATAAGGATGGCTATTATTTCCAACGGTACTTTCGTAACGATGTTCACTTATACATGTTTTGAGTGTACAGACGAGTTATCTAACCGCCGCCCAAACAGGGGTGGGGAGCTATGGTTTGCGGTGTAGTGAGGTGTGCAGCGCGCCCTATCTGTTGTCCTAACAGTGTTTTGACACTACGTTTGTGTGTGTGTGTGTGTGTGTGTGTGTGTGTGTGTGTGTGTGTGTGTGTGTGAGTGTGTGTGTGTGTGTGTGTGTGTATGTGTGTGAGAGTGTGTGTGTGACGGGCCGTCGGGATGTAGCAGCACGGCGCGATACACAGGCGCTACCTTGTAGGCTGAAGGCGTTGCGGTCGATGTGCAGCGTGTGCAGCGTGCAGTTGCACTGCAGCGCCTTGGCGAGCAGGCGCGCGCCCGCGTCGCCCGCCACGTTGCCACCCACGTCCAGCGTGCGTAGCCGCCGCGCGCCGCCCAGCGCGTTCAGCAGTCCGTACAGGTCACCCTGCAATACCGCACCACGACACGCTGCAACACGCTGCCACACGCTACTGCCCGCCCCGCCCTTCTTATGCGCCAGCTATGGCTGTTTTTTTTAAAGATTAAGGGTGACAAACGAGCATACAGTCCACCTGATGGTAAGTGGTTGCTATGACCCAAAGACATGTACACTTATACTCAATTAAGAATCAAAATGCAGATTCTTTATCACCCTTGAGGACTAAGATGGGATGCCTCGTTTACAGTAAAAAGTTATTTACTTATTATAAAACTACGGCACATTTACAGTAAAAATATACAACCTAACAATCGCCCAAACTAGCAGGGAAACTAAAAGTATACAATTAATTATTATAAGAATCTCATGAAAAAGTTACATGTTTAACCAAAACATGTACAACAGCATATATATGCAACGTTTATAAGAGATTTCTCCACTCGAGTTTATATTTTTGCATCATATCTTCCAGTAAATTTCTATGTCTCACAGTATCAGCAAAACTGGTCTCTAGTAGGAGAAATGGTAGAAAACAACCGCATTTTCCGAAAATTTGTCTACACTGAGGTTTTTGTGATGTCAAAAAATACAATACAATAATAGTAAATACCTAGTCAGGTCATAAGTATTGTCACACAGTAAAAACTTTTCTTTTAGAATGCTGGCCACAAAAAAGTTTATTGAATTCGAATTTAGAATTGTTCATGAAAATAAAACTGTATACTTTTTAGAATTTTACTCATTTTTAAATATGGAGTGGACGCTTAAAGAAGACCGTATTGCTGTTATTGCGTTGCATCGTTGCGGTTACGCAAATTTTTAACATACTGAAAAAATTTAATATAACCAAAAGATTCGTTTATCGTACCTTCTTCTTAATAACTGGCTTTACGGCTCTGGGTTCTAGCCCTTCTAAGCCTGAAGTTACAATGTATAATCATTTATCCTTTATAGTACACTGCTCCACAATATGTTGATGCGTCACATTGTGCAGCCCTTGGGAGATTTTGACGGCAACTTGAGCCAGCAGACAGCTGACAGTTGGCGATGGTATCTATCTCAAGGCGCCTATGCAGACAGACACCTTATCTTGAGAATCACATCACCATCAGAGCACTTGTTTCACCGTTTCCACTAATAGTTCACATGCGTAGACATTTAATACATAAAATCGCACCACTTTTACATATCAAAATCCACTTCAAACCATTATTTAAACAATAATACAGGAGCAGCGATCCGACGCCGGTCAAGTTTCCGCCAAAAACTCCCGTTTATCGTACCATAAAACGATACAATGAAGACTCTAGTGTAGATGACAGGTCAAGAAGTGGTCGCCCTCGGTCTGTTAGGACTCCAGCAGTGATAAAAGCTGTGAAGGCGCGAATTCAAAGAAATCCCAAACGTAAGAAGAAACTGTTGGCCCTTCAGATGGGGTTAAGCAGAACCACGGTGAAAAGGGTGTTAAATGAAGACTTAGGGCTTCGGGCATATCGAAGAAAAACAGGACATCGTTTGAATGCTCGTCTAATGGACCTGAGACTGAAGAGATGTCGCGCTTTGTTGAAGCGGTACGCGAGAAAAAAAATATCGGGAAATTCTTTTTTCGGATGAAAAGATTTTTACCGTAGAAGAGAGCTACAACAAAGAAAATGATAAGATGTACGCACACAGTAGTGAAGAAGCGAGCAACCGTATTCCGCGTGTCCAACGAGGTCATTTTCCATCCTCGCTCATGGTATGGTTGGGAGTTTCTTATTGGGGCTTAACAGAGGTACATTTTTGTGAGAAAGGTGTAAAAACGAATGCACTTGTGTATCAAAATACAGTCCCTGACAAACCTTGTGGAACCTGTTTCTCATACCATGTTCAATAACAGGCACTGGGTATTCCAACAAGATTCGGCGCCAGCTCATAGAGCGAAGAGCACACAAGACTGGCTGGCGGCGCGTGAAATCGACTTCAACCGGCACGAAGACTGGCCCTCCTCCAGTCCAGATTTGAATCCGTTAGATTACAAGATATGGCAACACTTGGAGGAAAAGGCGTGCTCAAAGCCTCATCCCAATTTGGAGTCACTCAAGACATCCTTGATTAAGGCAGCCGCCGATATTGACATGGACCTCGTTCGTGCTGCGATAGACGACTGGCCGCGCAGATTGAAGGCCTGTATTCAAAATCACGGATGTCATTTTGAATAAACTTTAGTGTCATAAGAATCTATGTTTTGTTAAGTTCATTTTGGTATATAAATGGTTACATAATGAATAAACTTGTTTCAATTATTTTATATTAAACATGTGACAGAATTTATGACCTGACTAGGTATATTCATAAACGTAGGTATTAAAATAAACGACAATAGAATAGAATAGAATAGAATATTTTTATTCAATATACATTACATGTGTAATTCTTATTGAAAGTCATTTTTTACTTTACCACTGGTTCGAAAAAAACCCTCTGTCCTGGGAAGAACCAGCAAGAAACCCAGCGGGACTTTTTTTAAAAATAAATTTTACAATATAAATGATTACGAACTATTTACAAAATTTATTTTAGAAACTGCTTGGAAGCGATCACCTCATTCCCAGGGGTTATTATCAACCATGTATTCATTTATACTATAATAACCCTTTTTATACAGTTTCAGCTTAATAAAACATTTAAACTTGGTAATAGAGAGAACCTGTACACTTTCCGGGACCTTGTTGTAATAGCGTATACATTGCCCCAAGAATGAATTACTGACTCTGTGGAGTCGAGAAACTGGTATCACTAGCTTGTGTTTGTTCCTAGTGTTTACAGAATGTATATCACTTCTTTTACTAAAACTATCTTTGTTTTTGTGAACATACATTAAATTTTCGTAAATATACTGAGAGGCCAAAGTTAATATATTAATTTCTTTAAATTTATCTCTAAGAGACTCTCTCGGTTTTAGATTGTAAATAGCTCTAATGGCCCTCTTCTGTAAAACAAAAATAGTTTCTGAATCAGCCGCATTTCCCCATAGCAAAATCCCATAAGACATTATGCTATGAAAATAACTAAAATAAACTAATCTAGCTGTCTCGACACTAGTGAGACCTCTAATTTTTTTTACAGCATAGGCTGCAGAACTTAGTCTGCTTGCTAATTTGGATATATGGGGGCCCCACTGGAGCTTTGCGTCAAGAGTGATGCCAAGAAAAACAGTGGATACAACAGGGCTCAATTCCTCCCCATTTAAAAACACATTGGTATTCAGATTTTGAACATTCGTTGTTGTAAATTTAACACATTTAGTTTTATTTCCGTTCAAATGCAGATTATTAACGTTAAACCAATGCACTAATTTTGATATAGCATTATTCACTTCGTCACATTTAAATGATTGACGTTTAAGTTTAAAAATCAAGGAAGTATCATCAGCAAATAATACTATATCATGACTATCCCCTACAAGGTGAGGTAAGTCATTAATATACACCAGAAACAGGAATGGGCCGATAATCGAGCCCTGAGGTACACCCATTAGTACAGGTGACAATATAACTATGTAAATAAAAAGTGACTGTTTATTAGCTGCATTATATTATTGTTACTCAATATGCTGTAAACGCAAAATAATTTTATTTATAAATGTTTTTTTTTATATGTTCACGGAATGAAATCAATCTTATTTCACACGATCGTCTACGCGTTGATTGCAGGTTTTTTTATTCGCCCCGCCCACATAATTGGAGTTGGCGTGATGCTGACATTTTTTAAACGAAAACGTCTTCTACAGTTTTTAGAATTCGTTATCCGTTAAGGACGCGTTTACAAAATTGATAGGTATAGAATCGAACTATTACATTGACACTGGTCACACACACAAGTGTACGCACGGTTAGCTGCGGGAATCGCAATCAAGTATAAACATTTTGATAATTTGAAAGATTGTTTTTTTTTTCATATTTCTTATTACCTACAAAAATATACTTAGATACGAAATATAAATGGCTGCTCCAGAGACAGATAGGTACTAGAAGCCATCTACAGGGAGTGAGATGTTGGCTGTGGACTTTGAGCTGGTTTTGTTAGTTATGATAACTTCAGCTCCGAACTTGGTGAAGTGACTTGAAGGTATACTTGGGTGGCTGCCACTGGAAGTCCGGGACGAGTAGTACCATGTGTGCCGAGTTTGGGCTCATTATGTTAGTTATGATGAGACCTTACCTCCGGACTTGACAGAATGACCTGATGGTGTACGTTGGTGACTACTACTGCAACTCCTGGACGAGTAGAACTAGGTGTGCCGAGTTTGGGCTCGTTTTGTTAGTTATGACGAGATCTTACCTCCGGAATTGATGAGAGACCTGATGGTGTACTTCAGTGACTGCTACTGGAACTCCTGGACGAGTAGAACTACGTGTGCCGTGTTTGGGCTCGTTTTGTTAGTTATAACGAGACCTTACCTCTGGACTAGATGGAGAGACCTGATGGTGTAATTTAGTGACTACTACTGGAACTCCTAGACGAGTAGAACTAGGTATGCCAAGTTTGGGCTCGTTTTGTTAGTTACGACGAGACCTTACCTCCAGACTTGATAGAATGACCTGATGGTGTATGTTGGTGGCTACTACTGCAACTCCTGAACGAGTAGAAGTAGGTGTGCAGAGTTAGGGCTCATTATGTTAGTTATGACGAAACCTTACCTCCGGACTTAATGGAGAGACCTGATGGTGTACGTTGGTGACTACTACTGCAACTCCTGGACGAGTAAAGCTAGGTATGCGTAGTTTGGGCTCGTTTTGTTAGTTACGATGAGACCTTACCTCCGGACTTGAAGGAATGACCTGAAGGTGTACTTCGGTAACTGCTAGTGGAACTCCTGGACGAGTAGAACTAGGTATGCCAAGTTTGGGCTCGTTTTGTTAGTTACGATGAAACCTTACCTCCGGACTTGACAGAATGACCTGATGGTGTACGTTGGTGACTACTACTGCAACTCCTGGACGAGTAAAACTAGGTATGCGTAGTTTGGGCTCCTTTTGTTAGTTACGATGAGACCTTACCTGCGGACTTGACAGAATGACCTGATGGTGTACGTTGGTGACTACTACTGCAACTCCTGGATGAGTAGAACTAGGTGTGCCGAGTATGGGCTAGTTTTGTTAGTTATGACGAGATCTTACCTCCGAAATTGATGAGAGACCTGATGGTGTACTTCAGTGACTACTACTGGAACTCTTCGGCGAGTAGAACTAGGTGTGCAGAGTTAGGGCTCATTATGTTAGTTATGACGAAACCTTATCTCCGGACTTGATGGAGAGACCTGATGGTGTAATTTAGTGACTACTACTGGAACTCCTAGACGAGTAGAACTAGGTATGCCAAGTTTGGGCTCGTTTTGTTAGTTACGACGAGACCTTACCTCCAGACTTGATAGAATGACCTGATGGTGTATGTTGGTGGCTACTACTGCAACTCCTGGACGAGTAGAACTAGGTGTGCCGAGTTTGTTAGTTATGATGCGCAGTTGCCCTTGAATTTGGTAATACCATTTATATTTTCTCCGACTTGCCTAAACTCGGCACACCTAGTTCTACTCTTCCAGGAGTTACGAAGTACACCATCAGGTATCTCATCAAGTTTGGAGGTAAGGTATCGTCATAACTAACAAAACGAGCTCAAACTCAGCACACCTAGTTCTACTCGTCCAGGAGTTCCAGTAGTAGTAACTAAAGTACACCATAAGGTATCTCCATCAATTCCGGAGGTAAGGTCCCATCATAACTAACAAAAAGAGTCCTAACTCGGCACACCTAGTTCTACTCGTCCAGGAGTTCCAGTAGTAGTCACTGAAGTACACCATCAGGTCTCTCCATCAATTCCGGAGGTAAGGTCCCATCATAACTAACAAAACAAGCCCAAACACGGCACACCTAGTTCTACTCGTCCAGGAGTTGCAGTAGTAGTCACCAACGTACACCATCAGGTCATTCTGTCAAGTCCTGAGGTAAGGTCTCGTCGTAACTAACAAAACGAGCCCAAACTTGGCATACCTAGTTCTACTCGTCCAGGAGTTCCAGTAGTAGTCACTGAAGTACACCATCAGGTCTCTCCATCAATTCCGGAGGTAAGGTCCCATCATAACTAACCAAACAAGCCCAAACACGGCACACCTAGTTCTACTCGTCCAGGAGTTGCAGTAGTAGTCACCAACGTACACCATCAGGTCATTCTGTCAAGTCCGGAGGTAAGGTCTCGTCGTAACTAACAAAACGAGCCCAAACTTGGCATACCTAGTTCTACTCGTCCAGGAGTACCACTAGCAGTTACCGAAGTACACCTTCAGGTCATTCCTTCAAGTCCGGAGGTAAGGTCTCGTCATAACTAACATAATGAGCCCAAATTCGGCACACCTAGTTCAACTCGTCGAGGAGTTCTAGTAGCATTCACCGTATACTTTCAGATCACTCTATAAAGTCCAAGACGAATAGGATTTATATATATTTATATATTATAAATCCCACTTGCTTTTAGCGAAACAAAACATTATAATAAGAATTTGTGATTATAAAAATATTTATATTATGTATGTATTATTTTACTTTGTCAGGTCATGTACCTATGTATCAAATTCGAATATTTTGTGTTTGTACAGCGATCTTTTTCAGCTGCTGCAGGCGATACAGCGACCACCCACGATAGCGGCCGAGCGCCGACTGTGGTTTCATCGAAATTTTTGTACAACAGATCAAAACAGACACTAAAAATAAAATAACCCTTATTGCAATCCATTAGGATTCATCCGTATCAGCAAAATATGTAAAAAAATAAGCATCAGTTTTTATTTTTTTTTACGACTATTTGTGACATTTTGATAAAAAGTAATCACCAGCATTTTTCTGCCGACTTCCAAAAAGGAGCCGGTACTCAATTCGACTGTATGTTTTTTTTTTTTTTTCGTTTTTTTTTTTTTTTTTTATGTGTGTTACCTCAGAACTTTTTTCTGGGTGAACCGATTTCGATGATTCTTTTTTTATTTGAAAGCTGGTACTTCTCGTGTGGTCCCATATGAATTTGATCAAGGTCAGACCAATAGTTTTTAAGTTATTCTTAAATAACTTATATTGAAGTCGGCTGTACAAAATTTTTAATTTTAAATTATTATTGAATATATCTGCCTACTTACAGTATTTTTAGAAATCTTAATATATGTTGATAATAGAACAAAAAATGTACCGAAATATGAGCCCGTATCGTTAATTTTGTAATAAATGTCTAGGGAAGATCCTTTTTACAATGTAAAAAACTATTATTTTCAACAAAAAAGTTACCACCATTTAAAGATAAAGAACCATTCTATACGTTGTAGTTATTAGTTATATTTGATTTGGTTTAGTTTTGTCACAAAATGTACCGAAAAACAGCATAATTTGGCTCGATTTGCAAACGCACCCTTAATGGACATTCTTACTGCATAATTATATGTCTGTGATAAGAGAAAATACTCAATTAATCATAGTCTAGTCTAGCTGGCTAGGTAGACCATATAGAATAGAATATAAACTTAAAAATGAATTACCTTTAGTTTACAATCACTAAGATCTAAAGATGTTAAAGCTGTATCTGGTTCCTGCAGAACATGCACCAATGCCTGCAAAATTAAAATAAAAAGGCTTTTATATTAACTTTCGTTCGTAAGATTATGACATACCTTATCATAACGAATTTATGAAAACCTTAAAACAACGGAGTGCAACCAGTGCGTATTGCCAGTGATGACATTTGGAACTGAGACATAGTCTTTCACTGCCAGCCGTAGCAGAAAGCTAAGTTTTCTCAGCGAGTTATGGAGAGAGCTTTGTTCGGCGTTTCTCTGTGTGATAAAATTAGTAACGTTGATAACCGAAGCAGATCTGAAGTGTCAATGGGTCAGAAATGAAGCTTAACGAACCGATAACCGATGTGGAAGAAAGGTTTTCGAGTGGCAGCCTTATAAAGGTAAGCGGAATGTACGGCGGCTCCTCACTAAATGGAGTAACGACAATAAACAGTAAAAGACATGCAGGAAGTCGATGGATGCCTCACTATCTTTAGCTGTAATCAAATATGCAAATATTGCAAAATTATATTCTACAGACTGTAGATAGAAAGTTGCATTAGGATGAATATGAGTAATGTTTCCAGTACGAGCATATTTAATAAAATATTAGCCTGTTGATGCCTTTTTGAAAAACCACGGTTCAGCTGTAGATATTACATAAGCTTATGATATCCAAGAGTTGTAGCAGCTCTAATATTTCTGAAAGCATAATCACAGTATTAGAACATACAGTCAGTCATTGCATTTGATGTTGACGGAAAAGCCAACTTCGTCTAGACTTGTCATGACTAATAAAATTACTTGGGTTGTCACAGCGGAAAGAAATAAAAAAAAAACAGTTTGCAACATATCATTGATATGCAGGAGAAACAGCGTTGGTGATAGCACGCAGCCTTGTGGAACACCAGTGTTGATCAGCTTGAAATCAGAGCACGCACCATCTACTACGATCTTGGTGCTCCGATCAGCAAGGAAACTGGTGATCCATTGGCACAATTTCTCGGGAAGCCCATAGAAAGGGAGCTTTGAAAGAAGCGCTTTGTGCCAGACCCGATTGAAGGCCTTCCGTCCAAACTAACGGCCAATGCGTCCCCCTTGGACTCTACTGCCTCCGCCCATCTATGAGTCAGGTGGACCAGAAGATCACCAGCTGAACGACCCCGATGAAAACCGTACTGGTGGTCACTAATTAGCTGGTGATCCTCAAAGTACCTCATGAGCTGGCAGTTTATAATGGATTTCATTATTTTGGAGAACAAGGAGTTGAAAGCGATAGGCCTGTAGTTGGACGGGTCTGAGCGGTCGCCTTTTTAAAGAATCGGGTGGACCAAAGCTGTCTTACATGAATTCGGGACTACGCATTGGAGTAGGAGTACTGAAAAAGGCGCGTTAAAACCGGTACCAACTCCGGAGCGCACGTCTTCAGCACAATGGGAGGGACTCCATCAGGCCCACTCGACTTTCTGACGTCCAGGGAGAAGAGTGCTTTGCGAACCGAGCGCTGTGTAAACCGCACATCCGGCATGGAGCACTCACACCGCGGGATGGTCGGCGGTGTGTTCCCCTCGTCATCTAGAGTCGAGTTGGACGTACAGAGAGAGCTTAACAGATCGGCTTTTTCCTTTGCGGCATGGGCTAGTGAGTCGTCCTCTCTGTGCAGAGATGGAAGAGATGGCTGACAGAAGTACCCTTGGTCAGCCTAGGCGAGAGATCAGAATGCACATGTTCCCGAAGGAAGGCGAACTAGCTTCTCGCTAATTCTACCGAAGTGCTTAGACCTTGTCTTGACAATGATGCTTTTGAAGGACCTGGAGGCGGAATTATACTTCTTTTAAGAGCCCTGGTGTTTACATCCCGAGACGTTGATGCGTCAGCCCAGGCCCGGTAGCACTCCTGCTTATAGCGTGATGCTATTTTACAGGAACAACCAAACCATGGCTGGGATCTGCCTCCGATGGGCACCACAGAGGATGGAATAAAAGTTCCATACCCTGAAGTACCACATCGGCAACATAATCGGCAACGTTGATATCTTCCGGCGAGAAGCAAACCAAGGGTAGGATGCAAAAAAAGACCGCATCCCGTCCTAATCGGCCAACCTATAGTGCCAAACACGGCGGCAAGCTGCAGATCGCAACTGCGATAGGAGCGTGCGTGGCACCGTACTCCGGATCAGACAATGGTCCGAAGAGCCCAGAGGGACATCGAGGGAGACCTGATATCCGTCCGGATGAGAGGTCAACAGAAGGTCTAACAGGGAAGGTACATGATCCTCCGCATTGGCGGGATTCGCGTAGGCGAAGTAACCAGTTGTGTTAGACCATATGCCAAGACAAATTCATAGACAGATCTACCCGCATGATCGGTTAAACGAGAACCAAGCCATTCAGCGTGGTGGGCGTTAAAATCACCGACTATCCCGATCTCTGCGGATGGGACCTCTTGTAGCACGGAGTCTGCAGCCATTTGGACGTGGTCGATGAGTCGGTCTGTATCGGCATTACCACTATGGGACCTAAACAGGCACCCGTAGACGCGGGGATGGTCGTCGCTGTCTACGCGCAGCCATAGGATGAACAGGTCCGTACCTTCAAGACGAGGCGTCGAAAACAGATGTCCTCTCTGACGTATACGCAAACTCCAGCCCGGGGCACAAAGTTCTAATTTGTACACCGGGTAGGAGAGATATGAAGTATCAGCCGGAGAGGACACCTGAGTCTCGGTTAAAAAGAGCAAGGCCGGCTTTACCGTGTCTAAATGGTAATGGACAGCGTTATTTTTTTAGTTCATCAGTTTATGCTCAGCGAGGGATTCTCCAGGGGTGCTGATACCCTCCTGGGGTATCAGCACCCCTGGAGAATCCCTCGCTCGCTCCATCCTCTTTCGTTTAATTCCGCTACCATGTAGTTTTATGAGGGGGGGGGGGGTGGTATTGAGCCTCCGGCTACTTGCACTCACCAAGCGCAACGCAGAGGTAAACCTTTACTTCACGCTGCTATTCTGTGAGGTCGTGGTACCACCCCGGTTCAAGCCAGCCCATCCGTGCGACAGCAAAAACTGCCGCGTGGCTCTACCACTGTCTTGACATATTTATTTCGAAAGTCATAATATGTCATTCAATTTCAATGAACGTATTATCATTCCTAATTAAACAATATTTCTACAAATATTTCTTCTGCGGCAGCAATGCGCTGGGTACCAGCTAGTCGCTTCATCTGTCGAACTGACGAGCTGTCAGAGTTTTACTGTTTCAAATTGTAATACAATATAAGCGGTTTAAGCTGAACGCACATATGTCCGCGCCGCACGCGCCGTACGCGCCGAGTTTTACTGATGGCCTCGCACATTTGCCCGTACGCATCGTCCGCTCCGTACGCAAATCTTTTGTATTACCAACAACTTTTGTAGTTTTTTCCAACCACAATGTAAAACGGTACAGTGAAATTGATCGCTCGAAATCACTTTGGAAAGAAATATAGTAATAGCCTGCTTATTGGCAGAGGAAGAAGAAAATAAAATTCGAAGAAAAAGATTCTGGATTCATATTATTAATTTAAAAAGGAAATTGTATGGAGAATATGAAGGAGATAATATACTTTATTTAAAGACTTATTAGATCATGATGAACGATTTTTTTTAGATATTTGCATTTAAAATACAAGAAATTTCAAGAATTGCTACATATACTAAAACCATATCTTTCTACGGAAAACTCAAGATTTAGAAGGCCAATTGAACCAGAGAAAAGACTTGTTGTATGTTTGAGGTAAGTATTTTTATTGATAATTAAGTAATCAAGTATAATTAGGTTTTTTAGTTAAATTTAACTATTTTTTGGTTAGTTCAGTATTTAAATAATTTATCCCTAAGTATACATATTGATAATCGATGCAAAAAAATTCAAACTATGTATAAATAATTACGAATGAATTAAAAGTTATAAAAATACAAAAATTATCATGAAGTCGAAACCACCAGTTATAGTGGAAAATCCACTAAGTTGGCAACATTAGACAACACTGAGTATCAGCACGCGCCGCATTATATGACATCATCAGCATTCGTCCTTCGATATCGTATACCGACCGCATTTTATAAAATTCGGCGCGTACGGTGCGGGTGTAATGTGCGAGGTTTCATATGATTTCATACAACGAATTTTAAATTTCGGCGCGTACGGCGCGTGCGGCGCGGACAAGTGTGCGTTCAGCTTTACTAAGTATCTTTGACTAATAACAACCTACATATCACTATATTTATTTTAATATATGTTTAAGTGTCAGTGAAATCTTTCAAGTTGCATACACCCAAGTTGCATGGTCGAAGATGGCATACATATGAAATTGCGTCATTAAGATTATTGTCGAATGACTAATAAGTGGATGTGAGGCTGTTCGGGAGCATACCGTACCGTAAGATTTCCCCGTCTAGACGTCTTTGATGACTGACTGTATGTTCTTACACTGTGGCTTAGTATAATATTTAAGCATATTTACTAATGAAAGGTAAAAAGAAAATCAGATAAGTATTAGTATTACTTACTTGTATTAAAGGTGGAGCATAAGACCTTTTCCCTGTTAGTCTGCTTAACGATAAATGAGTTATAGAGTGATTCTTTCCTATAGCTCTCACTATTCCTGATAATTCATATTCCATACCTGAAAAATATTATGACTGCTTTTGACTGTGTTATGCGTGACAAAGTGCTTGGCGACAACTTATAATATCAACGTCAGGATAATATTGAAAGCTATCAGCCCAAGATATTTTATCGCTGCTTATAGTGTCCAGCTAGGTGAGCATAACTAATAATTCAAAAATGCATCACTTTTTAAATCCTACAGCGAGTAATGGGTTCCTATCTGCTGAATAGAATATTTTAACCGGTTTTTGGATATGGTATGGATCATCATAAATCATCAGATAGTTTTCATTAAAATGATTTATGTGTATTTTTTAAACTAATTATTGTTGTAAAAATATGGAAACAATATAATTTTAGTTTAGTTCAGTATTTTACGTCGTGGTAGCTCAGATGGTTAGTGCTCGCTGTAAATTTCACAGTACGCAGACAACCCCGATCCCCTGCCGGCACTAATGAAATTGTAAATTGCAATTTTAAATTCTGATTATCGGAGGTGATGGAAAACAACGTGAGAAACTTGCATGAACCTGCAGAAATAAGGTAAAAAAAAATTCGCGGACATGTGAAGTTCGCCAACACGCGGGTATCGCGGCGGACGTTTCCTTGCCCTAAAAACCCCTCAGAAATCCATTGAGTTATATGTACTACGTACTAGAGGAGACACCTCAACACGATTGTTTGTAACACGCGTTAGAGTGCGCGCTCTCAAACTCACTTAGTCTGTGTCAAGCGGTTGCTGCAACGTGAGAAGTTTGAGTGAAGAATTATTTTTAAATTAATATGCCTTCGTGTGCATTGAGATACTGTTCAAACAACTCGAGAAATATAAGCAAAAGTCAAGAAGTGACTTTTCACCAGTAAGTTCAACATATTATCTTTAAAACACGCTTAATTTAATTATATTTTATCAACTGCAACGTATACGGGAATGTCAAAGAGTAAAACATTTTTATGCGCAGACTTAACACTATTGACGTATAATGTTAAGTAATTATGGACAGTAAATATTAATATATAATCACGGTAGGAAAAGTTAATGCATTAAAATTAATAGTTTTTATTATTATTTGGATTTAAAGGTTTCTTGAATCAAAAAAAAAAGAAAGAGAATCATGGATCAAATTTGTTCAGAAGAATCGCAGCGAAGAAACGTGGTTATCGTCAGATTATTCACGCATATGTTCCGTACATTTAAAAGAAAACAACTAATACTTCACTAAAACAGGAAGGTATACTTAAAGAAATCTGCAGTGCCATGCGATAACGTAATTATATTATTATATAATATTGCTGGGATTTTTGTTTTATTTTGTGATTAGACGACGAACGAATTTTTGTAATGTGTAAAATTCAGTATATTTACGGGACTTAAGAGAGGCGGTACCCTCGGCGCGCGAGTCGTACTAGTATATGGCGGGTTTTTAATACTGTAACGCTAGAATTTTTACAGGCTTCCCAGATAACTAGTATCTTTTTTTCAGCCAACAAAATGTGGTGAACAAGAAGTATTAGACCCGTTGTCTGAATCAGTAAACAGTTTAAATTCCATTTTTGATAGTCCGACAAAAAGTGTACACAAAAAAAAAATACGCAAGCTTCAGCTAGAAAGAAAATTACTGAGAAATTTAAGAAAATACAAAGAGAAAATATTTATTTACAGAAAAATGTGATTCTTACGAATATAAAAATAAATATTATAATATAATATAAATGTATATTTTTATATTTTACGTGTTTACCTTTTAAAATATCATTAAAATATAATTGTGACATAATATTATGTAATATTATATTAAATTAGCACATATGCAAAATAAATATAACAATAAAAGAATTGTACTCGATATAATTAACAATACAATATAAATAAACAATTATTACATACTGATCATTCTACCTTCGTACATATATACCTAATCTATGATGACAAAAACTGACCGCGCAGGCGCAACGCGCTTATATCAACTGCGCATGCGCGACTCTACTATCTCCCGCGCATGCGCCAAGACATAGAGTAGCGCACACTTTTTGTTTGGAATAGCTTCTCTAGTACGTAGTACATATAACTCAATGCAGAAATCCGGGGAGGCCTGTGTCCAGCAGTGGGACGTATATAGAATGTAACTAACTTTTAACTTTAACAGTATTTTGTAATGACAATCTGCTTTGTAATTGTTGGAAATCAATAATGAAGAATGATGATGATGAATGCATATGGGTTTCGCGTTGCTGAGCTAAGGTCTAAGGACTGCTAAGGTTCCGAAAAGCAGCTGGCAACTGAAATTAACATTAACATAACTTTTAATTGAAACTAATAATTTAAAATAAGATAATATATGGGATAAAATCAGTAAAACTTAGTTTCATTTAAATTTGTAGTGTACGCGTAAAAACACAAAAAATCATTATGGCAACATGGCTTAAATGTCGGCTGGCATAAAGTCATGCCAGTCATGCCATGAAATGTGTGAATGCGAGAGTGCTGACTGTTGTCGGAGAGGTCGAGCGCCTGCAGGCAGCGCACGCCGTGGATGCAGGACTCCAGCACGTGCGCCGCCTGCGCCGAGCTCAGCACGCCCGCCAGGTTCAGCTTCACGCCCGCCGCGCTTTCGTTGCACGCCAGCCCCAGCAGCAGACTCCTGCGCACAAAGGCAGGATCGTCCGAGGGATATCATATTACATAAATTTACAAATCATATTATATAAATGCTTTTAGAAAAATTTACTTCGCAAATATCCGCGTTATAAAATAAAATGATGTGTCTTACCTAGTATGAAGAGCACCTCCCGCCCTCTCTCAATTGCGTGCACTATCCCCGTCAACACTAATCCCAGCACCGCTACTCCCAACACCACTACACTAGGCAAGACACACCACTGACGATAATACGACACGTGTTTCGCCACTACACGAGGCATCCTCAGGTGATATAAGACTTAGGCCCCATATCTGAAAAAGTAGCTAATACTCTTCGACAAAACGACGTTTATGCTGCGATCAAAACAAACAATTCTCTTAGAAATATCTGTAATAATAAAGATAAGTTGGATATTCGTCAAAAGTCAGGTGTTTGCAAACTTGTTTGTGAAGAATGCCACGCCGTTTACGTGGGTCAGACTGGTCGCAATTTCGAGACACGTTACAAAGAGCATTTAGCCGCGTACAGGAATTGCAATCCCGATAAATCCCATTTTGACAAACATCTTTTGGACACTGGACACAACCTAGCCAACGACCACTCTTTTAAAGTCTTACATACGTGTAATAAAGGGCTGCGGCTGTGTGTGCTGGAACAGTTAGAAATATTAAAAAGTAACAATAGTACCGTTGCATTGCTGAATGTACAAACAAGTGTTACTAACTCACCTCTCTTAAATATCTTTAAGCCTGCTCTCTAATAATAGAGAGCCTCGCAATATGGTCGTTTGTCACCCTCACGGTGTTCGGCGATTGGTTGCGTGGTTGGAGGGTGGGCGTTGCGCGGCGGTTTGTTTTTAATTTTACAAACGGCTGCATAAGTCCGGCGGTGATTGGTCGCATGTTTTATCGCATGACGCAGTCGCTCGTTCCTTATTATAAAGTCTATATCACCTGAGGATATCTCGTGTAGAGGCGAAACACGTGTCGTATTATCGTCAGTGGTGTGTCTTGCCTAGTGTAGTGGTGTTGGAAGTAGCGGTGCTGGGATTAGTGTTGACGGGGATAGTGCACGCAATTGAGGGAGGGCGGGAGGTGCTCTTCATACTAGGTAAGACACATCATTTTATTTTATAACGCGGATATTTGCGAAGTAAATTTTTCTAAAAGCTTTTATATAATGGATTTCCGCAAAGTAACGCCTGATTCTATTAATTAAATCATATTATATATATTTGTCGTACTGCAATCACAGAAATAGGCAGATCTTAATCTGCCTTGGCGTTTCATGATTCGCCGACATTTCATGATTTCGGGATACAAAATCATCTATCAAGTAAAAAAGTCAAGTCCAGGCAGATAACGATCTGCCCAATTTTTCGATCGCACTACAAAATATGTACATGTTTAAATTTGTATGTATTTTGTTAATTTCTCAATACTGTCTTGCGAATATTGTTAAAACAATATAAATTACATATACATCTTAATAGAAACCTAGGACCTAGTTCGTAATTATTCAATTTCATTTATAACAAGTATTATATAGGAGCCACAAGGGTAGGTAAATTTTTTTTATACATACATGGAAACATATTTCAGAATTTTTACTGCAGCCATAGACATGAGCATATTATTTATTTTCGGGTGCCTTTTGTTTACATTCTCTGTTCTTAAACCAATTTACCAAATAACAAAAACTTAAAATCTTATTAAATAAAGCCTAACTTACTTGAGAACATCAGGCGGCATCTTGCAGTGGGAGAAGTCGAGATCGGCAAGCGCGAGGCAGGCGGTGAAGAACTGCCGGAAAGATGGCGGTGGATCCCGGGGCCTACGCGCTGCTGACCACGGATTTCGTCCAACCAGCAGCGAAGACAACCGCGCCGCACACCCACGCAATAACGCACCCCAAATCTATTAATCATAATGACTATCAAGTGCTACAAAACATACTACGTTCCTTTTTTCCGTACGTAAAGTACGTCACTTTAAATTGCACGTTATAAATCGAGTCTTATAATTGCAACTAATAACTTTACTTATGTCGGCGTGGCAATTCCGACATTCTTCGACGACGATTCCGACAGATTTCTTCATTAAATACACATTTCACTTGGTAATATTTTTTATAATTGCCATGAACTGATAACACATTTTTATCGATACAGTAACAAGGTAACAATAATTCGTATGACCGTTGGTTGTAGGTCTTCATGGACTGCAGGAGCCATTTATTGTAGCCACCAAGAGGTGGATATGCTGGCTGGTTAAAAATACACAAACACAGAAACATTCGTCTAAAAATACGAGGAATCAAATGACGCAAGCAGCGCATTTTTCACTATGAAAAATGTGCTGAATGCCTGTGAAAAAATTAAAGCAAGATTCATGACAGCTATGTACAACATAATAGCCTAGTAATCGAAACAAAATAAAGCGAGTCACAGACTACGCAGATACGATAATATTTTACCTGCGTACAAAAACTTAATTATTTGAAAATATCACACAATACGCAGATACGATAATATCTGAAATGATACATTCACTCGAAATCCTTCAAACTTGAAGACGTGTTTTTTGATTGTTTGTACAGTGTTACCTACAATGTTACCTACAGTGTTACCTACAATGAGTCTAAATTTGCTAGACAGCTCCTCAGAATAGAATTCCGATTTTGGTTTTCATGCACGTGTTACATTAGTATTTACTAAAAGGCGAAGAATTTGGATAGAACATCATTTAAAGCTTAAAAAGCACCATCCTGTATTTAACTGCAGATAAAATCTTATGACGTATTTGTATAAGCAGATAATATTGTCATCATCTTACGAAATAGGTCGGTGCTTACAGATACTTAACGATAAAATATAAATTATCTGCCCTGTGCGTGTGTTAGTTTATTGAATTTCAATAAGAGCGATATTGAAAGATATGCGCTCAGATACAGATATCTTATCGTATCTGCGTAGTGCGTGACTCGCGTAATGGCGCGGTTGCGCAGTAGCTAAAAGTTTGAAAGCGGTGCTGCTGGCCACGAGTTTGATTACCGCACAGAATAAGTATTTGTATTCCGGGTCCATTTGTCCTTGTGAAATGTTATATGTATTCGAAACACTTCCGATTCAGTAGAACAACACGACAGTATTGGGGGTAATGACTTTTTTTTATAGGATAAGGGTGACACACGAGCACACAATCCACCTGATGGTAAGTGATTACTGTGCCCCATAGACATCTACATTTATCCTCGATTACGAATCAAAATGTAGATGCGTTGTCACCCGTGAGGACTAAGATGGAATGTCTCGTTTCCAGTAAAAAGGGTATCCGGTTCTCTACACTCACCATACGAAACACAGCAGCATTAAGCTGCTATTTTACGCTGGTATTCTGTGAGAGCGTGGTCTTCCCCCGGTCGAGCCGACCCATTCGTGTTACAACTATACGAGAAACATAGCTGCAGCATGGCTATACCACGCATAAAATTTTGAATTTTTTTAATTACTTTATATTCTTAATTTTAAAAAATAAGAAAAAAAACATGTCTAATCTATTAACATCATCCATCGCATTGCAATTTAAATAAAACATAACATTTAAATTAAGAAATATACTACTCTACTTTTTTCTTTCTTCATTAATTCATTCATTCATAGGCACTTGCCACACTTGCCACGCTTAGCAGGCGGGCTGGTAAACGAAGTTTTTTTATGTTTTGAGTTGTCTTCAGGAAGATGCAGCTGTCAACCTCCTGTGTAATTGCTTCTTTCGAATCTTACGACACCTACGAGATAATATGCGGTAGTGGAATCTCTTACGTCTCGCCTACATGGCGGTCTACGGGTCTACATATTCAATAAAAATTTACATACTTACATTTTCTAGCATCGTTTCGGTGTTAGTCAAATTTAAATGCGTTAAAACGTTCGGCTGTGCAAGAAAATTGTACAGATTCTGAAATGAAAAAAAGAACATCAACAACAAATCTTCTTAAGTTTACTTTTAAAATGTAATAGTAATAAACTTACATGTACATCATCTTTTAAATTGTTATTAGATAGATCCAAGTGTGACAACGTAGAGAGATGGCATGGATTATCATTCAACATAGCGGCAAGATGGTTAACAGTCTTTCCCGTGAGACCGCATTGAGATAAAGCGATGTACTGGAGGCCGTCTGGGTTGTTCGCCAGACCCGTCAGTATACTAATGGCGCCTAGAAAAGAAACATGTAATATTTAACGGTGACCGTGTCATTATCTTCTAGCCTCCTACTATATATTTATCTTTTAATACTTTTTTGAGAACCAGAGCTCCCTGATACGAGTAACGAGGCATTCTATCTTAACTCTCAGGGGAGATCACGATAATATAACATTTCGAATCTTTGGTCCTAGGTTCGAATGCTAAAATAAGCCGCATTTTGCGAAAAAAAAATGTTTTCGATATTCGTTGCGTTTTGAGTGGCGTCGTAATTTGAGATTCACAATTGACAAATATATCGAATAATATTAATTAAAAAAAAATAGACCTTTAATAAACAGAAAAAGCCAATTTTACAGAAATAAAAAAAAAAATTTTTCATACCCCACTGAAGTCGGTGCAAATAAATTATTTTAATCTATTTTGTCTGCTTTTATTTTTTATTGAGTTTTATGTTTGACTCTTTTGAACGGACTACGAAAGCTCGAATGTCGTGTAACATGAAAAATTATATCCTCTTCTTTCCCAATATTAGGGGTATAAATTTTTCTTTAAATTTATATAGGACTGGGGTTCTATATTAGTTAATAAAAAAGAAGCATTAAAACTGATTCCCAATTTATGAAATGATCGGCTAACTAACCTACATAAAAAAGATCGAATCGAAATCGAAGTCAAATCGAGAACCTCCTACTTTTGTGAAGTCGTCTGCTTTGAAGAATTACAGTCGAATTGAGACCCTTTTAATTTTTTAGCTGGTAAAATACGACAAACACAGTACTAGTCATCTCTTTTTCTTTGGTAATGGACTGTAGTATTGCCAGTGTCAAGAAATAAGAAATTATATTTTATAATGGTTAGTTTCAAAATATGTAGATGGGTCACACTGCTAAGTTTTTGGGTGATTTTGATGGCAGCTGGGTCAGCACACAGTCGATGACGATAGTATCTCAAGGAGCAAAAGGGGACACAATAACTTAGGGCTCACATCATCATAGAAGCAATTGTTTTATCGTTTTCAATAATATTTCACATACACGTATCAAAAGTCACTTGAAAGGATAAAATAGGAGCAGCGGGGCGGGGCGGGGCGGGGCGGGGCGGGGCGGGGCGTGGCGGCGCAGCGCTGGCGGTCAGGTACGGACGGGTGAGCAAGTGGGTGTGGTGAGTGGTGACCTTTGTCCTCGATGTGGTTCTGCGAGAAGTCGAGGGTGTGCATGGCGGGCGGCAGGCGCGCACGCGCCAGCGCGTGGCCGAGGCGCGCGGCGTGGTCGTGGCGCAGCGCGGCGGCGCGCCAGCTGAGGCGCTGTGGCGGCGGCGCGGCGCAGCGCACCACGCGCGACAGCGCCTCCCACGCCTCGCCGCCCACGCGCACGCTGTCGCCGCACACGCCCTCGAACCACGTGTTGTGCTGCAGCGCGATCACCAGCGGTATCAGGTCCCTGCCGACACCGCGCCCACCTTTGCTTTAACTTACATATACCATTATTTTTCGATATACGCCCAAATTTGTACAAAAGATTTAGAATAAGTAATATACGCGAATAGTGAAGAAAAATTTTATTAAAAAAAAATCTCAGTCTGCCCTTTTTATCTTTTAAATTTAAAAAGCGTAGTAATCTACTATTTTACTACCCACGCACACATTCGTAAAGGTCGCTCGGTAGGCAAAAACGTTGTTAATTGAATCCCACACAAAAGAGCGCATGTATTCGTAGCTTTTACCCATAAAACACATTCAATTTGGAATAATTTCAAATGAAAGTAGAAGCCTTAATTACCCGTATTTTCAAAAATTACAATAATGTACAAATACCATCCCGTGAATATCGTAAAAGGAATAGACATAGGTAAACTGATCCAACTTCACCGCTTTTATTCCTTTAGGTAGATACGCTTAACATTTATTAAATTGTAGCAATTGACAATTTGTACAGATAATTTTATAGTTTTTTCAATGTTAGTACACTATTCGAGTGTCTATTTAATGAATAAAAAAGTAAACCGATTACAATAATAGTAAACTTTCAATGCGTATAATATTTACACAAATACTGATGCGGTGCTGATGGAATAACAGGGAAAAAAGAATGTAGATATTGCAAGGCGTCGCTCCTTCTAACCTCCACGATATTAGTAAATTTGAAAGCGGCGGCGGTATAGAGCAAATCCGTCGCAGGAGTTAGGAATTTTCCTGGCCTCCATAGTCCTGTCATAACGGACTCGAGAGTGTTCGTAAAGTGAGTAGTCATGAAGGCCGTGAAGAAAGGCGCACTTTGTGTTCCGGCGCGCCTTGTCTGAGGAGGTAAATCTCCTTTTATGCTTTCCCGCGGAAGCGCCGCCAGAGACAGATGACGCTGGTGTGACCGCAAATGTGTGCGAAAATGTTCCCGTGGCCGTGACAATATGCTGTGAAGGTGAAACACCTTCTGGGTTTTAGTCGGAATACTTCATGTTTTTGTGTCAGTTGCATTTAAAGCACTCGCAACATGTAACATTTCGATGTTACAATATATTTAATCGAATGTAAATTTAAACGGTAGTGTTATAATTCCAAACCAGTCATGCAAAATTACACAAATTACGTTTAGTTACGATATAGTATGTAACTAATCAGACCATGTAATTAACGAAAATATTAACATATTATGTGAAAATTTCTTAGTTAATAATTACTAATCTGACGACTGCATGCATGACCATAATACGACGAAACCAAAAGCGGGCTAATTAAAGCAGACCTTTCAAGAAATATGTCATTTAATTCATTTGGAAGGAAGATTATAATGTCCCATAGAGTAAATTTGGATCCGGGAATCGAACTCAACGGAGACTAGAATGCATAGGATGTGGTTATAGCACACGAGTGTGTGCGTAAGCTCAGGTGCAAAATGCACCCTCACTTTCTTCACTCTCATAGTCCGAATAGATAGCGACGTTCGAAGTGATATCTGAATACGGTTGCGGTAAATTTCACTCGGAGTCAACACTCATTGTGTGCAAACACAAATTTGTTTTCTGTGGATGTATTGTATTATCCTTGTTTCTGACACCACATTCTACTAACATTCCTCCAATGTTATCGTGCCAGTTACTTTTGCCACGATTTGGTTAAGAGTTAGGAAAATGGAGTGCCTATGTAAAGGAGACAATCGTTTTCGGGTTTAAAAAAAAGTTACCAATTTATTATAGTAAACGGCCTAAATATATTATGAAAATGTAACGGAATCATGAAATCTGGAAAAAGGAGTAATTTTGATATTTGTCTTTAAGCTAATATAAAGGAAAAAAAACGCGTATATCGAACAGGGGTATGAAAGTCCTCAATAGCTTGCTTATACTAGCACCATCTCATAGGCAGCAATAGCACTACACAATTTTTACACATTTTGTTCAAGAGATGACGTCACTACCGGCGTTAATATCATTTATTGTTTATTTCAATAAATAAAAGATATCAGTTGTTATTTTATTGTAAATACTATAATATTTTGAACATTAGGTATAGCCAGGGGTATAAAAGTCTTGAGTAGCTTGCTCTTACGTGGATACTAGTGCCATGTCACAGTCATTAAAAGCACTATTTTCTCCAATATTTTTACACTATTAAAAAGATGGCGTCACTGCTGGCATTTATTATTTACTAGCTGTGCCCGCGGCGTAGCTCGCGTATACAGGTTTTACATAAAGAATTTGTCGTTTAGGTAAGAGAATATTAAACGATTTATTTCATTACTGTATCAATAAGTGGTAACTAAATAAATCATTATCATCAAAGTTCTAAGTCGTTTATGATAGAGCTTCTGTGTAAACGACGTTAGAAGTAGGCTTAGCCGGGGTGTACACAAAAAGGTTACGGGGGCTACTAACGCGGGAAAAAGCAACATAGAGTTGGCCATGTGCAAAACAGTCAGTACTGAGGTACACTCCTACAACGCGTAAAGTTTGACCTTGCGCTTTATTTAGGGTCATCGCATAACACACGCTCACTGTAACTGGGAACTGAACGCGCTTAAAACTCAAAGGAAAGTTACTTCTTAATAGAGGGTTTTTGGGCAGTGCTGCCAGATAAAAAAAAACTCATTCAGCTCTAGGTCTCTACACAAAAAGCGCTAGATTTCATGAAAACAGCGCTTTAAAAAAGCCCTAGATTTCGCGCTAAATTAACTACAAACAAATTTGTGTTTTTTTATATAATCATAATAAAGAAAACAACATTAAGTTTTTTTTCTGGCAATATTTTTTTGATGTTTCAATACTTCGCAGGACATCGACTTATAATTATGGCAATTGCTGTCAACAGTAGTTAGTACTGTACGAACAATAAAAATGTCATTAATTGTTTTAAAGTGCAATGTATTTCGCAACTTAGTTTCAGATGTCAGCATCTGATTGCGGTTGCTACACAGTTTCTTTGTGTTATAACTTCTAAGTAACTTTTAACTTAGCTGTGCTCTAAGCAACTGACTGAAACTGAATAAAGCAAAACCATGAACGAAAACTTTAATAAAGGGGATTTCCCCGCTTATAGTCATCGGTAAAAAAATCAAGTAGATCATCCTAAAGGGGAAGCCAGGAGATCCATAGCACAGGGTATCCTAGTTTGGACTCGTCTCCCATGCTCTTTGTTTTGTGGAAAAAATATGTTTGAAAAAGATAAACTGCAATGTACTATTTGTGGGAAAAAATAATAAAGGTCATTATTATTATTATCGGTAATGTGGACTAACAGTGCTGCTATAAAAGAGTTAATAACCCGCTAGTCGCTAAAATATTGAAATGTGTGCTAAATACACCAAAAAGCGCTGGATTAAGCTAGGTGCTAAAATTTCGTAATGCGCGCTATACATTCCAAAAAAGCGCTAAATCTAGTTCCCAAAGCGCTAAGATGGCAGTACTGATTTTGCGTATATTATAAATACAATATCACGACATTTCGTTACGGGATATTTGTTTTAGTCGGGTTCCGTTGTATAGCTTCTTGTCTCAATACGATTCATCGGCGAAAAATCTCAATACTGCAATTCAGAAAAGTTTGTAATTTGTACAACTCCATCTATTACGTCCTTTGTGTGAGAAAACATCCTTTTTAAATCTCTTTTTGTGTTTTAAGTATAAATATATTAATTATTATGGGACGTTTTTTTTACACACAAATCTTTTTATTACTATTTCTGAGATTTTATGGCGCCATTGAACAAATTCGAACCTACATTTCAAAATAATAATCATTACTTTTGATAGAATTAACCAATTTTAATAAAACAAAGATTAAATGTAACTCGAAGATACGCTTTATGATTTTCTTAACGATTTCTTTGAAAATAAAAGATGTTTACTTTAGACGTGATGCGTTCATATAATAACAGACAAATAGACAGACAGACAATTCTAAAAATTATAAAATGTTCTTATTTAATTATTTTCAGTTCCCCATAATGATTTTAGCCACCAAAATATATATACAATGTACAGAAAGAGACACAACATGTTATCATCATTTTTATTATATGTATATATTTAAAGAGAGATGGCGCTGCTAACATCAATTCTAAAAATAAAAGAGATTAATTGACGCGATTGATACATTATATAAAACGCAAGAGAACTTATAAATCAGTGCCTGCACAGTAAGCAAAAAATAAAGTTTGACTCTCGCCAAAACCAACGCAATTGTTAATAGCTCTTTTAAAATTTGATTTACCACAAAGAGTACTCGGCGGTAAAGAATAAATTGAGTTTGTCAACACGCAGTAGGGCAGCGAGTAATATAATAAAGATTAGCAGTAAATATGAAAACTCATCTACAGGTAAAAACCACATTGCAATTCCATTACATTTTCACAACACCACCATCTATCGAAGAAATGGGTTAACTATTGTGCTTCAGATTTTAGTTAATAAGGTTAATATATTTTTGTATAATATATTTAATACGTTCTTTAATACTTTTGTTTACTGCGTTTTAGATATACGTAATTATATCATTATTTTACATAATTTAACTATGATTTATGATATGATATTAGTTTAAAATGCACTTGATGACTCAAACAAAGCCACCGTTGAGCAAATTCGTACCTATACTTCCCTACCCGTACTTCAGAATATTTATCATAACTTTTGATGGAATAAACTGATTTTAATGAAATAAAGACTAAATGTAACCCGAAGATACACTTTATAATTTCCTTAACAATTCTTATGATAAAAATTAGTACTTTATACGTGATACGTTAACAAACAAACAGACAGACAGACAGACAGACAGAAAATTCTAAAAATGGTAGAAATGTATTTAATTACTTATTTTTAGTACCCCTCAATCACTTTTATTACAAAAATATAAAATGTACAGACATCTGCTATTTACAGTTTTATTATATGTATAGATACCGAAGCCTATTTACATTAATTGTTAATTTCTCAGTATTCCCGTTAGATACGGTAAAACTAATATTACTGTTGTAATCTATAAGTTATAAGCTTATAAGGAATAAATCGACATGAATTTCATTAAGTTACACCACAATTTGTGGTGGGCCCATTCTCCATACAAAAAGAAATTGTCTCCTTTGTGGCACTGCAATATCTCCTGCGCAATTAATAGCTTCTGATTCTCCAATAATGTCACTGTCATAGAAAATCAAACAGGAAAACATGAACAGAACAATAAGAAAATAACACTTTTGTTTTAAGTAAAACTTTCCATTAACACACATTCGATGTTCTACACTTACTGCTTAATTTAGATTTATTCAAATAGCGCGGCGATTAACGCGAAAACCTTACTACAGTTCGCAACCGCTTAATGTTATTTTTAATTTAATAATAAACTTCTTTTATTTGACAATTTTTTTTTGTTGCATATAAAATGGAAAAAAAAATAATTACCTTTGATCCAAATGATCGAAATCTTTTAAATGCAACATTCTAATATCATGTGCCAAATATATCGTGTCGATGTCCCAGGCCACCTCTGCCCTAAAAAGGAAAATAAGGCTTAGATCAAAGCAATTCTCAATAATTAAAATAGGAAAGACGGAAACATTACCTAAATGGCGTTTGACATAAGTCGCACATAGCAGCATACTGATTAGAGAAATCTCCGCACGTAGAATGTTTTCGTGTCCCAGTGACCGGTTGTATTTGAAAAGGTAAGTTAACCTGCAAAATATATATATTCAAGCCATCACTTACTAGGAATCAAAACTAATTTGTTACGATTATTAGAGAATATAAATTTAAAAACTCCCCTAAAAATATACATATTTACTAAATAGAAATATTAACCATTATTATGGATTTTTTTTGCCATTTTAACGGAAGTTCAATTGATGTCGGTATTGTAGAAATCCTGGGGGCAAAAATCGATAAATTCTTGTCAGAGGTGAACAAACATATTTCCAATCGGAATTTTTTTTTAATGTTGAGTGCAGTCTGTGGAATCACAGTACACAGCACAGTGTTTTCCTGATTGCAGAGAACGCGATAATGCTTTAGCAAAAAAAGTTGAAGTGCCAGTATAATCACAGGTTGTGAGGCATTTCATTTCATACAACTTTCTTTGTTTGAAGTCGGCTGCATGTGTCCATGGTCTGCAGTAGCCACTTACCATCAGATGGATTATAAGTTCGTTTGTCACTTCAGTTTTATAAAAAATATGTATTAAATAATATAATCTTGAAGTTATTCTTTTATTACTATTTGTTTTTAAAGACAAAAAAGCCTTTACAATGAAATTTGCGGTTTATTGGCTTAATCGGTAGATGCTATTTTCTCTCAAGCGTTTCCTTTCCCTTCCACTTTATTATATATAGACAAATACATCGTATCTTCAAAAATAAAATTATTGATTTTGAATAGTTACGAGGGCGGCACTGAAAATTACGGAAATCAAGGAATTGACACAACATTACTATTTAAAAATGTATTTATTGCTTTTCGAAGTATCTCCGCGAAATTTGACACATTTTTCCATACGATGGAACCAATCATTGAAGCAACCATTTCATTCGGAAGTTGGGGTCTCCAAAATGGCCGTTTTGTAGGCGTCCACAGCTTCTTCAGGTGAAGAAAATCTCTGTCCACGCAATTTATTCTTTATTTTAGGGAAAGTATAGAAATCATTAGGGCTTAGGTCGGGGCTGTACGGCGGATGGTCTAATAATTCTATGTTTTCTTGCTCTAAAAACTCTTTTGTTCTGTGTGCGGTGTGAGAACTCGCATTGTCGTGATGGAGGATGATGCGGCGGTTGCAGTTCTCTTTACGGAGTTCAGAAACGACCTGTGGCAAACAAATGCTAGCATACCATTCTGCATTAACCGTTCTTTGTCCGTCAAGAGGAATAGTCGTAACATGGCCGGTTTTGGAGACAAACGTGGCCATCATTTTTTTTGCAACACTCCGTGAACGAACAATTTTTGTTGGCTTTAACTCATTTTCGAACACCCAAACTCGTGACTGGTTTTTTGTTTCGGGTTCGTACGCATATATCCAGGATTCGTCACCTGATACGATGTTGTATACAGCATTTGAGGATCCTGCGTGGAATCTTTCGAGAGTTCTGACGCACCAAGTAACGCGAGCCGCTTTTTCCTCTTCACAGAGCGAATGCGGTATTCATCGGGAAAACAACTTTTTTACATCTAATTGTTCATGCAAGATTATTTGTATTTGACTCATGCCAATGTCTAAACAAGTTTGACAAAACCTTGTGACAAGACCGAGAATCTTTTTTTAAATAAATAAATGGTATTTGATTTTTAAAACCAAGGAGTTTTCAATTAAAAAGATTTTAATATAACAGGAACAGTGGAAATATTCCATTCCCGATACTTTTAGCGCAGCTTGTGTATTAATATTGCTTTTAAGCTTATATTAAAAACGATTTGGCGTGGATAGAAAGCTACGCGGTCTCTGAAGAATAAAAATATTGACATAAACTGTTAACAGTGATTGTTATAAGATTTTTGTTCGTCCACACACAACCCAAGACGTGTAACATAATATTCTATTCAGTTTCATATAATAAAACAGGCACACGTCACACGCACGTGGATTTGGTTTGCTCTTACTGTAAAGGTACGTCCATAAACAACAAACGTAGACAAATATTACGTGTATTGCATATTATCACCTAGACTCTAGTACGCACGGCTTTCATAATGTTACTTACGGCTATGCTGTTCATGTTCAGCTAATGTTATTTTAACCCCCGACAAAAACAGAGAGGTGTTATATTATGTTTCTAATGTGTATCTGTCTGTCTCTCTGTGGTATCATAGCTTCTGAACGGATGAACCTATTTTAAATAGGTTTTATTCGTTTGAAAGGTCTCTTAATCGAATGTGTTCTTAACTATGTTTCAAGAAGATCTGTTCAACCGTTTGAAGATCATCAGCTCTTTTGTTTCGGTTTTTTTTTTATTTAAGTGATTATTCTGATACGTCAGGTCATAGGTAATTTATTTTATTTATTTATTTCAGGCAGTGCCCATATATAATATTAACAAATTAAATATAGTAGGTTTCTTAAATTAATTCACGGATACAGTGGTATATTTGGAAGGCACTACTTAATCTTTTCGTTTATGGTGTACATAATTTTTTTAAAGAAGTAAAGGTCACAAGGTAACGAGTAAGTGCATGCCTACATGCATCAACGGTTGAGAATTAGAAGTTGTCACCGATGCTAAAATAGAATGCCGCGTTACCAGTAAAAATGATCTCCGGCACTATTTTCGGCTGATGTTTTCCCGTTCTGATGTTGCCTGTTCGACTCGATGTCTAGTGCCAAAATTCAACTTTTTTTATTATACTCGTATAATATTAAGTGAATACTGTTGCCCATAAACATCTAGATCTTTACTCTTTTTTTTATAAGATATAGGTGAAAAATGACCACACAGTCCACCTGATGGTAAGTAGCTGCTGTGGCTCATAGACATCTACATCTATCTTCGATTACGAATCACAATGCAGATGCGTCGTCACCCATGAGGACCAAGATGGAATGCCTCGTTTCCCGTAAAAAGGGTATCCGGTTCTCTATACTCACCATACGAAACACAGCAGCGTAAAGCTGCTATTTTGCACATATATTGCTAATTTGCATATTTTGCTATTTTTACTGCAAAAGTAGTAATAGACGAGGAAAAGCTTTTGAATTAACTCTAGTCAAGACAAATTTTGCTAGTCACCAATTTACAAGACAGGCTGGTTATTTATACAATGTAGTCAACAAAAAACAAAACATTTATTCACTGAACTCTAATGAGTTCAAAAAGACAGTTACAGAATGGCTACTAAAACTTAAGTATGATGAAGTCGAGGCATTACTAAACGCAAACTCGAATACACACACTTCCCCGGTCGAGCCGACCCATTCGTGCTACAACTATACTAATAATAGCTGCAGCATGGCTCTACCACGTATAAAATCAAAATTTAGAATCAAAATGCAGGATGCGTTGTCACCCCTACAGGACTAAAATGGAATACCCCGTTTCCAGTAAATAAGTAATTTTCTACACTACCCATAAAAAGAGAAAGAGCAGAATTAAGATGCTATTTCATGCTGGTATTCTGTGGGAGCGTGGTCCTTCCCCGGTCGAAGGAACACCGCGGGGCTCTAGCAATACACAGAAAAAAGAAAATGGAAAGGAATGGTTTAATGTTATAATAATTCCGATATCAAAGACGCATTAGACGTTCGTCGGAATGATGGCTTGGCTTCGCTTGGTAATCGGGACACTTTTTTAATCTAAAACAATATGTGGTACTTAATAATAAACTGAGTGTATTGCATATTATTGATAAATATTTTTAACTAGCTGTGCCCCGCGGTTTCATCCGCGTCATCACGTGTCCGAGGTGCGCGCCATGACCTAGTTCAAGCATTTTATAACGGCTAGGGTTTAAGCGTCGTTCGCGCGCCCAGCCAAGTATTGAATTATTTTAATTTTACATTATCTCTTAAACTATGCGTCCAAATAACATGGTATAAAGAACAAAGTTTATCTTCATAAAATTGTCTTGATGATGAAGTAACTTTCGTTCGTAACGATAAATAGGCCATGCCTAATAATAACGCTCATAAATCACTTTTAAATTTTCAATATTTTTTTTTGTCACAAAATACCAAATTATGGCTTATGTATAAGAAATAGACATATGGTATCGAGGACTTTTTTTTTTAGACGGAGTAAAGGTCTATATTTTTCTAGAACACTATATTTACGTATCCCTAACGATAACACCAGCGTACGCGGATAAATCATTTCGGGAGTGCTTTTTCTTCTGACTTGCTTAACAAATATCCATATTTAAGGCTAGCTGAGTAATATAGCTTAATGCTAGATAGCCTATACTATTCCACATGAATCTGGCTATAATATACAAAAAGAATTTTTCAAATCGGACTGGCAGTTCCAGAGATTAGCGCGACAAACAAAAAAACTCTTCCGCTTATTATATTAGTATAGATTTCTACGTATTACTTTTATTCGGCTACTGGCTGGTAATGTTTACACATTATTAATAACACGACCGCTGAAGTCTACACCTGAAACTTAGTAACTATTGCATGTTTTACGTCGTTTCAAAGAAAAGGGTTACATTTGTTTACCTTTGTTGGCGACTCAAATGAAAGCGAGTCTGTAACTGTATGCTACGTGTTATGCAACACTAATTGGAATGCGGGATTAAAACTGCGACCCAATTTTGCGCAAGCACGTCCGTATAGCATTAGGTTATTGGCGCAATTGAATAATTGTACATCCATACAAGTAAAGTGCACGTAAATATAACAATTATATACACTTGAATACAACTGTGTGTGTTTAGTTTAAAAGTCACAGGTAATGAGAATATCACCTTTCCCATAGAGGTTCAAAAAACTAGGTAATTTAAACAATCAGATAGTCTAAAATGCCTGAAAATAATTATTGATACTTTATGGAAATAAGTAGCTGCTAGCGTAGGCATGCTCCTTACCGTTACAGCCTATTTCTAAGTCTACTACTCAACATAGGTCTGAGTCCCTCATAGATTGATTGTCTCATAGAGGGAATCTTTGGCCACGCTTGGCAAGCGCGTTGGTAACCGCAGTTTTTTTTTATTTTTAGTCGTTATTAGGAAAACGCTGCTGCCCATCTGATGTTCCCCTCTTACGACACCTACGGGATGATATGGAGTAGTGGATATTTTTACACCGACACTACACGGTAATACAAATGAATACGCTCCTTAAAACAAATAAATAGAGAGAATAAATGAAGTTTTTTTTTTATATGAATGAAAATGATCTAGGTAACTATCGCATAATTAAGTCAATTAACAAAAAAAAAAATCAGAAAAAAAAGTTTTTATACAATTTGGATTATTAATTTTCATTGAAAGTAATTTTTGCTTTCAACATTGGTTCAGAAACATTTCTGTCCTAGAAATAACCAGCAAGAAATCCAGCGGGACTTTTTTTAAAGTAACATTATATGTTCATTATAAATATGTTGTACATACAATTATTTACAAAACTAGCTTTTAGCTTTATTTAAGAAACAGCTAAGAAGCGATCACCTCATTCCGAAGGGTTATTATCAACTATGTACTCATTAATATTAAAATAACCCTTTTAGAAAGTCTGTGTTCATTAAAAAAATTAAGTTTAAATAGACCTTGTATATTTTCCGGAACTTTGTTGTAAAAGCGTATACATAGTCCCATTAATGAATTACCGACACTGTGGAGTCAAGTAACTGGCAGAATAATAGAGAATGAATATCCTTAAAACTATATTATAAGAGATTAACACTAAAAATGTTCTTATGAACCGAATTAAATATGATGTGTCGACGTCCACCTATTAACAAACTAATTAAGCAAATAAAATTACTCTCTATAATCGGCGACATTGAAACACGGAGTGAATAACTCCGTAAATAGATATAAAACAGTCATTAAACTTCATTTTATGCACACTGACCTTGGATATAATGTCCTCCATAGCCACATTAGGAAACAGATCATCAAAAGCCGCGGCCAGAGCGTGTATTGCATTTATAACACCGTCTGATGAACCCTCCTCGCCTAAAAGTAAACAATTCATTTTCATAAATAAAGTATAAAATATAAATAAAATATATTTCTTACATTCCCAACAGATATGCCACAGCTATATATATAGGGACTGAGAGAGAAAATCTTTCACAGCCCTTATACAGCCCACAGAGATTTGGTAATTTAATGTAAACTTAGATTGAGGAAATGATGATGAAATATTAAAAAATATATGAAATAACATTCAAGAAAAATCTAATTAAGGAAAAATTTATGTTCAGTTTTCCTGCTAATACAATACACCAATGAATTGCATAACTTAGAAAATTGTGTCATGACCAAATCGTAATTTTATGGTCATCTCCATAGAGTAACTATCTTGCTCATTATGTGAATATCTTTGACAGAATTGATCAGTCATTTCTTTCTTCGTTAATAATCCGTAGTCACGCAACAATACCCAGATTGAATATTGTTTATGTATGTTAGCAGAGAATCATACAAAAGTAAATAATAAATCCATAGATATTAATGTAATTATCATTAATGTTCTGCATTGCTATTGCTAGAGAGTTTCTTGTGTTTTCAAGACTTTTTGAATAGTCACAAAACAAAACGACGACAAAAGAGGCTATTGATACCAATATTCGTTATTTGAAATTATTTAACTTTACACTGTGGTGGCATCGAAATAAGTACCAGGCACTCCAATTTAACGTCTGTAGGTGTTGTAAAAGTAGACTTCAATTGCAAGGCACATTTTGTGATATGGCTAAACCAATTGTAATGAAACTTCACGAAAGGATAGCAACGCAAGCAATGAGTGATGTAGGCCAGGGGTCAACAAATGGCGGACCGCGGTTCGGTTCCGGACCGCCGACCTATATTGTACGGACCCAGAAGAATCTAAAAATATCAATGTTAAAATTTGTGATAATTCACTTATCTTCTGTTTTAAAACACAAAAATTCTTTGTCAAGAATTTTGGATAAAATTAATGTGTGGTAATAAATACCAATTTGGATCAACATATATTTGTAAAGCAACGTTTTTCAATATGAACTACATTCTATATCAAGATCCAAATTTATTTCATATATGAAATAAATTTCGATCTTGTTTTACCGATGACCATCCTTAAGATTTGATGCTAATAGGTTGCACCAACTTATTTCCAGACTTCAGACAGAAAACAAATGCCAATTTCGCCTTAATATTTGGTACTTACTTTATAACTATTTAATATTTCTTTTGTTTTATTGGTTTATTAAAATTTCAAATCTCGGTTGCTGGTCATCATCCAGCGAACGGACCGCGACAGATTTAATTTTTTTTTAAACGAACCTGTAATTAAACTATTTGGTGATCCCTGATCTAGGCTATATTTTATCCGAAAAAATGACCAAAAATTGATAAAATAAATGAATTTTGATTAAATCTAAATAACACCACATTCATAGATCGTAGTATTATACTAGATAATATTATTATAACAACTCGTAAAGCGTGAGAATTACGGCAGATCAATTTGGTAAAGATATTCAGCACGACGAAATGAGGGTAGGTATATAATAGGTCTTTATTCCATGGTCTTTATCTATGAAATTGCCATTCTGCAGTACTGGCCATTTCAAATCAAAATAATTTTTCTTTCTATTTCAAATTAATTTTATTTTAAAATCATGGAATTCTTTTTTCAATTTTCTCATTTGTGTATTGATTAGCGTTATGTTTTCATCGCCTTTGAATCTTATTTGTCATCATGAATACGTTAAAAATTCGATTAATTTCGGAATATGAGTACCGTCGTGGCAGCAACGCGGCACAAGCGGCACTTCAACATCAACGACGTTTACGGAGCGAATACTACAAACGAACGCACCACATATTATTGGTAAAAATTAACCCCATGGTCGTCCAAAAACTTTGGTCGACAATGACGAATCAAAGGCGATTGTGGTAGCTAATGATACTCAATCTACGGCTGAATTAGCAGCAGCTTTTTACGTTAACATCAAAACAATATTGGTCCATTTGCGTCTAATTGGCAAGGTAAAAAATTTTGATATATGTGTGCTCCACGAATTCAATGATCGCTAGCCTTGCACTGCTCAACAGGCACACAAACCAAAGATTTCAAGAACCGCATTGTTACCTGCGACGAAAAATGGGTTCTGTTTGACAATCACAAACGCTCAGCAAGTTGGTTGGGTCCTGTTTCAGCACCTAAACAATGTCCTAAACGAAAACTTACCCCTAGAAAAGTGTTAGCGCTACCTCAAACTGCACAACAGTCAGTCTCCAAGTTACAAGAGCTGGGGTAGGAAGCTCTCCGGCATCCGCTGTACTCTCCAGACCTTACGCCTACAGACTTCTACTTTTTCCAGAATTTGAATAATTTTATGACGGGAAAAAAAAATACGATACCCGAGAGGCAGTACAAAATGCCTTTGAAGAATTTGTTACCTCCAGCCCAGCTGATTTCTTCAAGAAGGACATCAATAGACAGCCACTGTGTTGGCAAATATGCATCAAATGCATGAGTGATTACTTTGATTAAAAGAAATAAAAATATGGAAAAAAAACTTATGTTAACTTATTTCATAAAAAATTTCATAGGTAAAGACCTCACATTATTATCAACTCTGCCTCCCTTTCTAGTTTATAAACCAGATTCACAGCTGGTGCTTCGACGTAGCTCATCTTTGCCCCCCCAAGGATGGGTATGCACTGGGATTTTGTGATTAAAAAAGGCACAGGCCTCCTCTCAATTTCTGTGAGGATTTATTAACCTACACAGTCCACTGTGCCATTGTGCGATAGTATTTTCTTGGCTGTGCTGATATTGACGAAGGTGGAACAGCACCAAGCTGATGGATAGTGGGGCTTTTCCTTGGCGTTTATTTATGAGTAGGCATTACACCATACAAAAATAAGTCTTAAAACTAACTATAGACTTACTATTAATCTTATACTCACCAATAAGAATGGAGACTGGTTTGTGTTCATGAATTAAAGTTATGGATAGATGATTAGCCTTTTTGCTTTCGAGGGCCTCTATTTCCATCAAGTGAAATCCATTATCCACCTTTTAAATATAAGAGTATATTATTATAAAAAAGTAAAGTAACCTACATTTGTTTTACAGTTCTCCTCACATGTCTGAAAGGGGTTTGGGGCAAGAAAAATTCTAACATGCGGCTTCAATAATGCGAAGTAATAGAAGGCAGGTCCACATCTCCAAAAAATATTTTCCCACATTTAATATCCAGCAATAAATTAAAAAAGGGCTCATAAAGAAGAATACATGCACTTCATTAAAATAAGATAAGTATGAACTCCATAAGGTTTTAAACAGCATATAATATGAATAAATAGAAAATAATATTCGATGACCATAATAATCACTAAATTAAAAATGAAAAGGAAAAAGACTAAACATGTCAACTTCATTTCAACAAGCATGCAAATACACTCATGATGTAAATTTTCTGCCTATTAAATGATGTGGATTATAATTATTTACAATAAAATAAGTATTTTACCCGAGTTGGAACTTTTGTAGTTGTTATGAAAATTCTAAATGCAGTCACAACCTGAAAAAGAAGAAAACATTGTGAAATATGCACAGCAGGTTCACAGTTAAATATTTTCCCATATCCTAACAATTAAAAGATATGGACTTATCAAATATCAAAATATGATTGGCATCCAACATAATAGATTTATGATGATAAGATTAATGTCCATTGCTAATGTGGGTATTTTACAGGCATCAACAGGGTACTACCCATGTGATTAAAGAATGGGATTGAAAATGGCGTCACCTCTATTCTCATCTCGTTCGTGCTCTGTAGCTGTATATACTCATACCCACCGGTGACTGCAAATAAAATACATTGCGATATGCGTTTTTTGTACATTCTATAACTTCAATCCATCTTGTCATGGAATCAATGATAACAAACTACAAAAAATGCAATAAAGTACAAAAATTTCCATCCAGTTTTGTTAATTTGTAAGTTGATTTTCTTTGTTAATAATTTGGTATAAAATATTTACATGCCTCTGAGACATGACTAACCATTTTCAAATTTTTCATTTGTCTGTCTGTCAAAGCTTCGAAATGCTACCTATTGTCAGCTGATTCTATTGTAATAAAACATCACGAACAAATAGGGAGTAATACAAGAAATGATCTAGACTAAATTTTGTCCAAAAAGTTTAGACATTTTATTAATATAGCACTACAACAATAATGTTACAACAATATTGTTAGGATAAAATAAATGGTTTTTAACTATTATCTTATGTCTAAATAACGCCACATTAATAGATCCTACCCAGGCAAAGCCGTTATAACGGTATATCATTATTAGCATGTTTTCGCTATTGGTACTGTGGATATTGACGGTACAGGCTCCACGAGCCACCATTTCTAATCCCCTTCTTTCTCCCATGACATTTCCCATTGTCACTTCTTACAACACTTACATGATGAAATGGTGTAATAGTTTCTCTTATATAACCGGAATCGTAAACATTCTACTACACTATTTATTTCTTTATTAATTTTAAAAATGCTACCTCCACACTTTTCTCCTGTATCATGGGGGCAGTTTATAAACATAAATTCCACAAGGACAAACATCCAGACCTGGAACAATTATTTGTAGGCCATAGAAATACTTGTTCCATGCGGGATTAGAACCTGCATCTTTTAAATCAAATACTAAAGCATACAGTTATGAATATGATGTGATCTCACTGTCCCTAACTCATAAGAAAGTAAGACAGACAGCTGCAAAACTATAGAAAGGAATACAGAAGTTGAAAATGAAATGTATTTATTATTTGAGATACATTATTCTCAAAATAAAATATGTTATTAAAATAACTATTGAGAAAAGCAATGATTCACATGCAAGCAATGTTAGAAACATTAAAATAAAAGGATGATATGGGATAGTGGATATTCTTATGTCACAACTAGACAGCAAAAAATGAATATACCTAGTAAGAAATATTTTTGTTAGTAGTGGCATCACAAGAGACTCCACTACCACACTTGGTGGGTGCTATAAGAGGTGAAAAAGTGGAAATGAAACAGGCAACAGGTAGCAGCATCTTCATGATAACAACTCAAAATAATAAAAAACTTCAGTAGCCTACCCACCTGCCAGGAGTGGTAACTATTGCAAATTCCCCATTTGAGGAAATCAATAAGGAAAGCATAAGTTTAACAGTGGACTTTTAATAGCATGTAATGAATAAAATGAATGGATAAATGTTCAAATCAAAATAACAACAACTATTAAATTACTAATACAGCTTAAATTTTATAACTATCAACTATGAATTAATAATTTTACTATATTATGTCTTCCCATAAAAACCACAATAAATAGTAATCAAAACAAAATATTCATTGTGATGTGAGTGTTAGTATTATAGAGACAAACACAGCTTGATTGATAATAGTTAATACAGTTCATGAGACACACCTAAATGACTCATGCTATTGTTCAGTATTTATTACTAAAATTTTAATATAAATTCACATACTGGCCACAGCCAACAAAAAGAAAACAAATTAAGTGTTATTTATTAATTAAAATTGCATGAATTTTTTTTATATAAAACAGATATAATACGCTGTGTTTTATATAGTGATAAAAGCTTTATAAATGTAATATTTATATATATATATATATATATTTATATAAAAAATAATTTGGATAAAAAATGACAGTAACTATATTAAATGGTATTTCACTTACTAGGACCCTGTTGTCTACCTTATCACCTCTTGATTCCATGCGAATTAACGATTTATAAAGTATTTTTACATTTTTACCCAAAACATTACTAATACTATCTGTAAACATAAAAAGAAAAACAATTTTTGGATTTTAATGGCCACGAGAAGAAAATTAAAAAATATCTTATTTTATCGATATTTTAATTTCTTAATTTATGAAATTATGTGCTACTGCTTACCATTTAGTTCTGCAGTTATTGTTGATTTTGTGGACATTTTTGTAATTTTCTTTAATGTCATTACTTTAAATGAAACTTAAGTGGTATCAATAAACTCTACAACCATATTCATTTCCACCTACTTGTTTTTGGTTAGACCGAAAACAGATTCATGTTGCAATACCACATAATTTGAAGAAATAAGAACTATACAACAGCACTTTAATTAAAGAAAAATATTTAAACATCAAAATTCTCCATAACACTTCAATCTTCAACCAACCAATCCAAAATCCAACCAACTAGAACTAGTGATGGACTCGAGCCGTGTTTCACTCGAGTCACTCGAATAGCTTTTAGTTTACTCGCACTCGAGTAATATTTATGATAACTCGGAGTACAAGTGACTCGAGTCAATTCTAATGACTCGGACCATTCGAGTGACCTGTACCGACTCAAGTGAGAAATTCAAAATTTGCTTGAGTGAGTTGTTTCTTTTTAGTAATACGTTTATTTAAGGCTATTAGCTATTAGTACGTGTTCGATATGAGTGATGGTTCCAAAAAAGCTATAGTGACCACACTATAGCTTTTTGGAACTTTTTACGACAGAAAGTGGAAGAAAAAAACAGTTATTTGTAAGTTGTGCAAGAAAGTTACAAAGATTTTGGGAATACTGCCAACTTGATTTCTCATAATATGAAGAATAAACATCAGATTCAGTATATGGATAATAGGGGTGAGTCAAATCCATTTCATGTGAGTTCTTAAACTACTGAAGGTAAAAGGTCGTTTTCAGCAACTACAGCTTGCTAGGCCAAATGCATCGCTTACTAAGCAAAAACAACGAACGAACGACGGAGCTCTTCTTCGGGATCACATCGATACACCATTTTTGGAACCAAGCTCCTAAATCATCAATTGACTTTTGGATCTTGTTCTGTATGAAAGGTAGTGAGATACCTTTACAGTAGAGTGCAGTGTCGTCTGCAAAGAGGGAGAGCTGAACACCTTTCGACGGGATGGGAATGTCGTTGGTGAACAGGATATATAGGAGAGGGGCAAGCACTAAGCCCTGAGGGATACCGGCTTTGATGGGGCGCTGAGAGGAGAGCGTGTTACGTGTCTAAAACGAAAGGTATGGTCCTTCATAAAGGAGGCCACGAGACGAACAAGGCGATTATGGAGGCCTATTCTGTAGAGTTTGTAGATAAGACCTTCGTGCCAGACTCTATCAAACGCTTTTGCAATGTCGAAAAAGACCGCGATGGTCTTATGACGACGAGGATAGAAACCGCTGAGGATATATTCTACAATACGGTGTTCTTATTGGGGACAAGAATGTTTCGCTCGGAAACCAAATTGGTGGAACGAGTCATCCTTACTCATACGAGTAAGGATGACTCGTTCGAAGAGTTTGCCCATGGTCTTGAGGAGGCTAATAGGACGATGACTTGAGGGGAGGTTGTGAGGCTTTCCTGGCTTGGGGATACCAATGACAGTTGCCTCTTTCCATGTGGTGAGAAAATAACTAAGGTTGAAACAGGCGTTGAAGATAATCGCTAAAAGAGTTAACACCTGCTCAGGGTAATGTTTAAGGGCTTGGTTGGAGATGCCATCCGCACCAGGAGCTTTTTTGGGCTTCAATTCTTTGATAAGGGATGAGATCTCATCATTGGACACAGTGATAGGGTCAAAGGCTGTGGTGGGTGAGTTCCAGCGGTGGACCTCATCCTCCATTGTCCGGATTGGGAGGGGTCAGTAGGTTGAGAGCTAGGAGAGCATTGTGCGGCAATGCTGTCTGCAAAGCACTCAGCCTTTTCCTTGTCCTCGAAGGCAACCGTACCATCGGGACGGGAGAGAGGGGAGTGTGGGTGATAGCGTCTATGCGGAGGGCTTTCGCCATCTGATAGTACTATGCATGAGAGGGAGAGATATTCTCCATGAGATTACTCTTTTCGAGGTCTCGAAGTTGGGAGAGGCGGAAACAGACTTCTCGTTGAAGACGATTGGCCGTACACCTATAGTCGGGGGTATAGATTGCTGCTCTCCGCAAAGCAGCTCTCTTCGCTTTTATTAGGTTGCTAATATGTAGGGGAAGACCATCATTATTAGCAACCGGGACGACACTTGCATTCTTCTTAAGGGAGGATTTTATAAGGGTGGAGAGGCCTTAGACGTCTCAAAGGCATTATATGTACAGTTGTTACAGATAGTGCCTACCCACAAAATAACAAAATGAATTCAAAAATGGAAAAATGGCACCGGAATACCTTATAATATTTGTTAATTTTATTTATAAACATTTTAACTTTTTAATAAGTATTGTAATTAAATTATGCTATATTATTTATAAAAACTGTATTAATTAATAATATTAATAATTAATGTTGCTATAGTTTTAATATGTATAAGTAAACCAAAACAAAATCAAAATATTTATTATTTAATTAAGCAATATTATTTTAGTCAATATCGTAAAAACTAGTAAAGCGATTTTGATGAAATCGTTATGATTCCTTAATTTTAAATAAATGTTAGCAAATAATCCCTAAGTTGAAATAAATAAAAAAAAGAATGATTACGATCCGATTACTAGTTTCGGAGAAATGTGAGGACAAACATACATACATACATACACCTATGAAATTTTGTGTATTTGTTTGCAAGCCCTAATAGATTATCATAATGTAAATATTTTGCAATTCCAATAATATTGCATACATACGTGTTGAATTGATAACCTTCTTTTTTGAAGTCGGTTAAAAATTTATACAGACTACGCTTAACAGAACATATCTTGAAAACTACTGAAGCGATTTTTATGAAAACTGAACTGTTCTGTAAGTTGAAAGATACTTAATCTAATAAATAAAAAATTGCAATCAGACTAATAGTTCCTTAGAAATACGTGTACAAAGATACGAGTACAAGAGATGGCATAAAACAATTAATGATAACATTATTATTTTGCGACTATGTCTATGTTTTGCGATAACAATATTACACAGACTAACTATGGTGTAGAGTACACTCTACACCATAGTTAGTCTGTGCTCTACACTCCATAAATTAAACGAAGTTACCTGACAGATTATAGATGTGCCAACTCGGAAAAATTACAGCTCGAGTTAACTCGAGTTGAAATTCACGCAACTCGAGTTTAAACTCGAGTTACGCAACTTGAGTTAGCAGTACGAAACAGAGTAAAGAAATTGTCACAAATTACTTTTTTATAAATTTGTTTTTCTATCTAGCTCTGGTGGGTTGGTATAACTATAATTACCAAACTTATTATGTTGGATATAAAAAGGTATATTTAGTAGTATGTATCACATACTTATGTATTCTTGGTTTTAATCTTAGTAATAGTAAGTACATGTATTTAACGACAAAACTAGCTATATAACAGTCTTCACGATACAATATTAGTCTAGCTTTAAGATGTAGGTACATAAGATATTAATAGTTTAATTATCACACTCAAAATATCCTTAAATAAATTCAATTTCAAATTCATAATATTTATTGTAAGTTAAGTGTTACATTTGGCGTTAATTTAAAATATGATGATCTTACAACTTTTCGGATATTACAATAATAGGTCTGCTAGTTACATAACTATATTGATCATAATTAATCAAAATTATAAAAAAAATTACATAACTTAGCTATTATATAATTCTAAATAACAAATTGTTTGGTTTTAGCTAAATACTTTTTAAAACACAAAGCCCGCACACAAGGAACGAATCGCGCTTTTACATTTTTGCTTATTTACTTGACCCGTCTATGTACAGCAGTCCAAACTCGAGTTAGGGAGAACCAACTCGAGTTAACTCGAATTAAGTGCAACTCGAGTTAACTCGAGTTAGTAACTCGAGTTGACCCATCACTATGACAGATGCTAATGTGACTTTGTGAAATAATGTTGCCGGGTTCATTGTAATAGTCACGGGCAGTAATCTTTAGGGGTGTCCACTTTGAAAATACATCGATGTTTTTTTTCGATGTGATGCATCGAGACTGTGCATCGATATATTCCGATGCATCGGTGAGAAACATCGATGTTTTTTCAACATCGAGTACATTTTATGACTTTACATTATAAATCTGTAGTTAACTTCCTGACACCCTATTCAAACAACCGACAATTTGGAATGATCTCTTATTCTTAAATGTGTGTGTTCAAGGATGTTAGACAGTTAGATAGATATTCTTTATATAAATAAATTATTACCTACTACTAAATGGACGGCGGGTTTAGAACAAAATTTACAAAAAATGTGTACGAGTCAACCTATATTAATATTTAAGCGTATTATATATTTAATTTTACTTGCGACAATTTATCAGGCTTTCAACTTCAACCAGAGGCTGTTCATCTTATGTAGCTTTTAGCGAAAATTATCGGTATGATTTTTTGTTTTTACAATTAATGTGAATTTATTATTTAAATACTACGTATCTTGTATCTAAGCAAAATAATACTTTTAAATTATTAAATATTAATAGTCCTTATCGAAAATATATACAAATATAGATAGTTTGGCGCCTTTTATGATACAGTACGGCATTTTGGAGTGTATTACCGGTCGACAAAACGAAGCCTGGCGCGCAATATTGGAACTTTTTGCTTTTGGAACACTTTTGACTCGGACAAAGCGCAGAGCCGAAGTCCATTTAGTAGTAGGTCAATGTTTATGATATTATTTTAAATGAAAAAAGTACGCATCACATTAAAAATACTTACATATGGAATATAGCTCCATCTTTTGCCAATTTTAAGTATTTTGACTGCTTTATGCATACGTTAACCGCATTTTTCAAAGAACACCTACTTCGGCGGAAACGATTATCGTATATTATAAAATCGATTTCGCAAACAGTTTTTATAAACGCACAAGCTTTTAAATTCAATACCTTGGCAGAGGGGAATAATCATGCGAGGTGACTCCACTGGGTTAAATGGTCTAAAGGCGGCTACTCACTTGCCTGCCGCAGGAGCAATCTAGGGTGTAGGAATGGGGATGACCCTTAATTGCCTCCTTAATTGTGATGTGTTTTTTTTACAGGATAGGGT